TGAACCGTTTGGTAGATCAATTTCAAATTTTCAGGGATGATTCTTATTATGAAAATCTAGAACTGATTAGTTTTTGGGCATTCTGGGTAAATGTCAAGGCAGCCATTTTGGATTTTCTGTCCTAAAATCTTGTCTGTAAAGTCTTGTCTACACATTTCCAGGTGAACTGTTTGGTACATCAATTTTAAATTTTCAGGGATGATTCTTAGTATGAAAATCTAGAACAGATTAGTTTTTGGCATTCTGGATAAATGTCAAGGCAGCCATTTTGGATTTTCTGTCCTCAAATCTTGTCTGTAACGTCTTGTTTACATGTTTTCTGGTTAACTGTGTGAGGGATCAATTTCAAATTTTCAGGGGTGGTTCTTAGTATGAAAATCTAGAACTGACTAATTTTTTGTCATTCTTGGTAAATTTTAAGATGGCCATTTTGGATTCTCCGTCCTCAAATTTTGTCGGTAAAGTCTTGTCTACTCATTTTTAGGATAATCATTTGACAGGATTACCCATAGGTGGGGACATATTGTACACGTTTGTGTTCTTGTATTAAATTATCAACATGTATGTAGATGATCATGTTTTTATCGTACCTAACAAGAGGTACGATATTGTAGTCAGCTTGACGGGCGGCGGGCGGGCGGGCGGGCGGGCGGGCGGCGTCTTACTTTTCAGCTTGTCTACAGGTTTCCAGCCAAACCATTTGAGGGATTCATCTGAAATTTTCAGGGATGTTTCTACATATCAAAGTCAAGAACTGATTAGTTTTTGGGCATTCTGGGTAAATTATAAGGTGGCAATTTTGGATTTTCCGTCCTAAAATCTTCACTTTCAAGACTTGTCTACAGGTTTTCAGCCAAACCATTTGAGGGATGCATTTGAAATTTTCAGGGATGTTTCTACATATCAACGTCAAGAACTGATTAGTTTTTGGGCATTCTGGGTAAATTTTAAGGTGGCCATTTTGGATTTTCCGTCCTAAAATCTTCACTTTCAAGACTTGTCTACAGGTTTTCAGCCAACCATTTGAGGGATTCATCTGAAATTTTCAGGGATGTTTCTACATATCAAAGTCAAGAACTGATTAGTTTTTGGGCATTCTGGGTAAATTTTAAGGTGGCCATTTTTGATTTTCCGTCCTAAAATCTTCACTTTCAAGACTTGTCTACAGGTTTTCAGCCAACCATTTGAGGGATTCATCTGAAATTTTCAGGGATGTTTCTACATATCAAAGTCAAGAACTGATTAGTTTTTGGGCATTCTGGGTAAATTTTAAGGTGGCCATTTTGGATTTTCCGTCCTAAAATCTTCACTTTCAAGACTTGACTACAGATTTTCAGCCAAACCATTTGAGGGATTCAGCTGAAATTTTCAGGGATGTTTCTACATATCAACGTCAAGAACTGATTAGTTTTTGGGCATTCTGGGTAAATTTTAAGGTGGCCATTTTGGATTTTCCGTCCTAAAATCTTTACTTTCAAGACTTGTCTACAGGTTTCCAGCCAAACCTTTTGAGGGATTCATCTGAAATTTTCAGGGATGTTTCTACATATCAACGTCAAGAACTGATTAGTTTTTGGGCATTCTGGTTAAATTTTAAGGTGGCCATTTTGGATTTTCTGTCCTAAAATCTTCACTTTCAAGACTTGACTACAGATTTTCAGCCAAACCATTTGAGGGATTCATCTGAAATTTTCAGGGATGTTTCTACATATCAACGTCAAGGACTGATTGGTTTTTGGGCATTCTGGGTAAATTTTAAGGTGGCCATTTTGGATTTTCCGTCCTAAAATCTTCGCTTTCAAGACTTGTCTACAGGTTTCCAGCCAAACCATTTGAGGGATTTATCTGAAATTTTCAGGGATGTTTCTACATATCAACGTCAAGAACTGATTAGTTTTTGGGCATTCTGGGTAAATGTTAAGGCTGCCATTTTATATTTTCCGTCCTAAAATCTTGTCTATCGAGGCTTGTCTACAGGTTTCCAGCCAAACCGTTCAAATTTTTACATTTGTTACACAGTGATAAGTTCTAGAGCTGATTAACTTTTCTGCGGCCATCTTGCTTTCTTGGTCAACAAGACCACAATGCTGTGTTTTAGGTACGATATTGTTCACGTCTGTGCCTTGTTATTTTTGAGCTATTTCTTTTAATCATCCATAAAAAGAACAAAATAAGATTTTCTTGGAATGTGTACATTCTCCAATTTTGAAAACCCAAAGGCAATGCTTATGTATGAAATATAGGAAGTTGCCTACCCTTCTAGTTGAAAGCCCATGCTGTAACTAATCGATTTTCAGAAAAAATTGAATTTCACAATCTTGAAATTTTCAAACTCTTCCTGAGAAGTCGTTTTTATTATTTCACATATGCTTGTGCACTGTTATCATTACAAAGACATCAAAGAACAACAAAAAACTTTAGTTTGAGAAAAAAGTGCCGTTTAAAGAATTTGAGAAGATTTTTTCTAGGAGTAGCCCGTGAAAAACCGCTGATTCAAAATATCTGAACATTTCAGAAAATATACTTCAAACATATATCAAAAACGAAGGAGCAACGGAAATTTGAAAAATTACCCGATAAAAAAATTGGGATCAAAATAAGGAAAAAAGTACACTTCTCAAATTGTTTTTTTCTATTTTTTTAAATTTGTATGAGAGATTTCAAAATTCTAAAGCTCCTTCCATTTTGGGCTATATTAAAGGGATGTTTCAGAGAAATTAGAAAAAAAAATGTTCAGGGACCTTTGCCGTGCTACTCTTTTTGTCAATTTTTCTGTCACATTTTCAGAGGACTCGAATTCCCATTCCAAAATGTTTACTGTTTCTATTTGCATTACCACAGTGAGCCTGGCTATATAAATGATAAGTGGAACTAAAAAATTGAGAGAAAATCCAACCAAAAGACAGTTAATTTTGATGGTCAGATTATACTCAAATGCCATGTGCTTCCTGGTTTCGGCCATCTTGGATTTTTTGATTAAGTTATAAGTTACCTTAAGCACAGTACAACTACAACCACAGGCTTGAGGCTATCTGTTGCAAGACTTTCACAGGAACTTGTAGCCTAGCACTATGATATGAGGTGCTTATGTTCCAGTTCCCGGAAATGGTAAAGCGCTATTGTCCTTCTTATATAAATGACTCAGATCTGACATAAGCATCTCATGTGCTACAAGTTCCTGTGAACATGGTGAAGACTTTTGCCTGGCACAACCATAGGCCAAGGGAAAAGTAATAGTAAGCTGTATATAGAAGATCGAGACAGGTCCACAAGTAAGGTTGAAAATTCTTCAAAATTTTTCAGTCTTGGCACTAGTTCTCCTCACTGGTATCAAATTATATTCCCATATCTCTCCAAAATCTTCTTCAAAGTGTTTTTCAAAATTATATCATTGTTTTTTTCAAATCTTTATCTAAAAACTGCATATAATACGGCATATAAAACAACAACTATGGATATTTGCAATTGCCTGGCAAGCTGAAACTGATTTGGTTGGTTAATACAGAAATTGTCACTGGTGGAGGTCAGGGAGGTCAGCAGTGACCAATCAGATCACTTGTTTACTAATGAACTTGCCAAGCAATTGTAGATTTTCAGAAATTCTCTCTTTTAGACAGCATTATTCACTCTATATCATCTGACTGAGTTTCAATCTTAGGTAAGAGCTACAAACTATCAATTTTCTATCTACTCCCCATTGCTTTTTGAAAATAATACACTAAATATTGTTGAAATCTCCATCTTAACAAGTGGTCTTAGTCAGACTTGTTCACCTGTCTCTTCTATATACGGCTTACTATTACTTTATCCTTGGCCTATGGGCACAATTGCACCATGTTATTAGTGTTTTTAAGTAGTCTAGCGCAAGGATCCTGCCATGACCATGGTAATGTTATCGTGAAAGTCTGGTATAACCGTGATAATGCCATATTATATTGCAAGGCCTGTCTTGTCCTTGCACAACTTAAAACACTAAAGCCACCCTTGGGTTTCTCATCCTGACAATCAGTGATATTCAATTATAATTGCTTATATACAGTTTGTATAGTTGTTTATTTATCAATTATATCAATGTTCAGTGTACAGGCAACTGACACCCATGCGGGTGTATATAGTTACATATGATTATATTACATAATTGTATTAATCAAGATGACAAGATATAAAACTGTTTTTAAAGATAAACCAGGGAAATCAATGTGTTATATGATTGATCGTTAAAGGAGGAGGGAAGTTAGTGCAACAGATTTCGGATAGTCATATGTTTGATTTTGGCTATTTTCTGAGGATTTAAACAGGTGCATATGTTAGGCCAATGCATTACCTCCAGGAAAAGCTCTTATAGAGATAATAAAATAATTTCAACTTTGAGACAGGGTAGATGCAAACAACCCACCCACATGTTTTTTCTGAAATGTTTTCCTGATTTTCAACCCCTTTCATTCCGGTTTATATAATTTTTCTTGCATAAATATGTTGCGTTTTGACACAGAGTTAAGTGATTCCTTTTAGATAAAGTAGAAATCAATATTTCCCATGTTATTTTCCCATAGGGAAAACTCATGCAATCCATTGCTTTCAGCTAATTTTGGTCACCCATAATGGATATCTTTAAAACCCCTGTAGGAATTACTTATTCCTTAGAAGTGGTTAAGTGTGTGTCAAAACACAACATATTGATGCAACAAAAATTGAAAAAGCAGGGGTGGAAGGGGTTGAAAATCAGTACAACATTTCAGAAAAAACATGTGGGTGGGTTGTTTGCACCTCCCCTGTCTCAGAGTTGAAATTATTTTATCATCTCTATGTGTGCTTTTCCTGGAGATAATGCATTGATCTAGAACATATGCACCTGTTTAAATCCTCAGAGAATAGCCAAAATCCAACATATGACTATCCGAAATCTGTTGCACTAACTTCCCTCCTCCTTTAACGATCAATCATATAACACATTGATTTCCCTGGTTTATTCAAGAAAATAATTCGATCGGTCAGCACAATCACAAAATTAGCAAATAAAGCGGCGGAGTTGGGGCTTCTTTGTTGGTAAGTAGGTGATACGGCTCAACAAGCAAAAAAGTCCAGTGGGTTGAAGATTGTGCCAGGTATAAGTCAACAGATAGGGTCTCGACTGTGAGATATTTTTTTCTAAAGGATGAGCTTACATACAAACAAACTCATTGAGTACAAGTTATCTAGAAAAAGTACACTTTTTTTTCTTTCTTAGTCAATATGGCTGTAATTTTCACTCATTACATGTAATCCCTACTTGTATCATAATGATAACTTATTTTATTTCCAGATAAAGAATACTATGCCACTGCCTAAAAGCGCATTTAGAGCATCATGGCCTGAACTAGCTGTGGAGATTTGGGTTAACATTTTAACTTACCTTCCTGTTCCGGATAAAAACAGCATTCGTCTTCTCAGCAAACACTTGAGAGACTTAGTGGACCTTCCAGTTGTGTGGAGAGATGTTTGTATTAAAATTGACATTCTAAAAAGAGATCCAAAATGTTATGCTCATCATAAAGGGTATCAAGAATTGTGTCGGAAGCGTCAGTATAAGAAAATACTTCTATTGCTGGATCTCCCAACTCAAGGAGAGTATACTTGGTATGCTAATTCTTGGGCAATGAACTCATTTCATTTGTTAGAAAGTTTACAGAACACTTTCCAACATTTGAATGAAATTACAGTAAGGGGACAGTATTCTTACACAAAAACTTTTGGGGATAATGTTTCTGTTCTCGAGCATTCCGGAGATTTTGAGATTCTAGACAAAGATGTGGAAGCTGAGTTTTGGATGCAACTTTCCCAACTTTTCAACAAACTTGGAACAATACAGAAATTGACAATTGATTTGCTGCTCATTGACATAAGGAGAGAGGATTGGCCTCAGAGGGGAAGATTTGGATATACAGAACCAGAGGCAATACATGCAATAATGATGGGGTTGAAAACATTGCTTATTGAAATGAATTCATTGACACATTTTTCTCTGCATCTACCTCCAGTTGAAGAATTTAGTTCAGAGGCCCAGAGGTTATTCCTTCCTACTTATGAAGGTAATAAAATTGAAAATGAATTACTGAAGTGATGTTTTCAGCTTATAAATATCTGAAAACAACTCATGGGCTATACTAATGGAAAAACCATATATAACATTTAACCATTTCTAGTAATAGGTCTTTGGTGCAGGTGCATTTAAAATTAAATATTACAATGTCTCATTTCGGGGTAGGTAGATAAAATGCATGAGTCATTGTGGATGGTAGATATAAATATAGATTATCCTATGAGGTTACTTGGATTATCCCATGGCTAATGTACTAAATATACTCACAGATTGAAATTGATACTTTGCCAACTTGGCCCTTGCAAAAAGTTTCATTTTAAATATCTTCTTTTGGTGATTTTGTATCTTTAAGGTGATTTTGTCAAATATATTTTGCAATGTGTGAAAAGGATTTAAGCCTAAGACTCAATGTATTGTGGCTGCTTCATTCCACTCAGGCATTGTTTTCCTAAACTTTGCATTCCTGCTGTGTGGTCATACAAATATTTGGAAACAACACCTTCAATGGAATGATTCAGCACACATTGCACTGAGTTCAGGGCTTAAATCCTTAATTACATTATTATATTTTGCAGGTTTCCTATAGATATGATACACAGGCATCCAGTGGCATTGATCATAGGACATCAATCCATCTTGAATATGATGGTGGTCTTTAATTTAATGTTGATGAAACTTGCCTCGAGTACAGCGTTAAAACCTCATAATGGTTTATCCCGAGTTTCAATGTATATTGACTTGGAGAAGGGGTATATGCAGTTGATTGATGCAAGGATAAACTTTGAAATATCTATAGTTAATAATAGATAAATGTTTTGCATGCAACATGTTATTTGTGTTTTTGATATATGATGGGCAGCAGATTAATAAGATTTTCTTTCAGGTGTCGAGGTGGAGTGATTATTAGGCATAAAAACTTGCCTAAGCAGAATTACCTGATTGCATGTTTCAAATATTTAATCCATTGATATACTTTTCATTTTGATATAATTTTCAAAGCGACTTTTTGTTAAGCATGATCTACAACAAAAATACACCTTCCTTTAGATTTGATTTGTTAGTTAAAATTTAGATTAAGTGATTTACCTATTTAATATTCTGTTCATGTTTTCATCAGTGTTGATTTTACTGTTTTATTGTTTAAACCATTTTGCAGGAGTTACATAGAATTCCTATTACACTTGTTTATCATGTTTATAGTTTTTTAAAGTTGATATTTTTTTTGCTTCTTGTATCCTCTGTATTATTTAAAGAACATTTTTTGTTTCACAGCGATAAGCGTTTATGTTATGTTATGATTTCAAAAAGTTGATTTTGAAAGTTTTTAAAAAAAAATTAAAAGTTAATTTAGTTGTCACTCACATCATGGGCTTGTTGAAAGCCCATGCTCACATACATGGTTCAGTAATAATTTACACTGATGCATAGTATACAGCCTATCCTATTTTGTGATGAAAAAGGATAAAAAAAATTGGTTGGAAAATAAGCAAGATATTAACACTTAAGTGCAGAAAAGTGATTCAGAGAAAAAAGCATTTTAAAATTTAAGTTCTCATCCAATGGTACATAAATTTTTGAAAAATGAAAAAAATTAGCTTTAACCTAGATCGGCCAACATTGTTGCCTTATTTTGAACATTTTGCGTTTATTTAGAAAATATTTGTATGAGAAAAAGACAATTTTTGTAAAAATATTTGCTACCCGAGTGACATCACAGCGTATCATTGTGACATCAAAAATTAAATGTGCTTTAAAAGGGTTACCCTGTATACATGTCCTTGGTTGAATGGTTGAAATAATATGACTTTTCCTGACATTGATAAGTGTTGCATTAGTATTTGATGATCTAAAAATCTGAACTCTTGTTTCTAAAATGGTGGGATATTCATATATTTGAGAATAATAAGATGATTGAACAACTTTTTTTCAAAAGTCATATTTTGTAAAAAATGTCACAAAAATGACTTAGGCATGATGAATAATATCTGAATGATTAAACTATATTTTCAAACTACACAAGGGGCCTTTATTAATATTCTTACCAGATATATATACCATTTATTAAATTCTATGTGTGTTTGTTGTTGTAGATAAATGTGAACCACTAAGACTGGAACATCTAGATGTACGGCACACTATATCAGGTCCACCAAATGAACAACAGATAGCAATGTTACCACACCTGAAGTCGTACTCAGCATCTCCACTGTGTAGCTTAGACACTGTTTATGAAGATAATATGGAAATTCAAGATTACGGCAAATTGTCGAATTTGAAAGAACTTAATATAAAGTGCACCTTAGTGGGACTTGGGTTACGCAATATTCAGGGCAAGTACTCTGCACCAGTTTTGCCGCCTGACTTAAGCACTTTACATATGAGTTGTTTCGATGGATACTCAAAAATAGATGGTGACCTCCGGGATCTAGTATCACCATGTCACAGAAATCCATTGGCTTTTAATAGAAATCTAAGGACCCTTAACATAGACATAATTACACCCATTAAAATGGTGTTTAACATTCACTCATTGAAAACAATAATCAGGAAGGTTCCATACGTCCAGGTCTTACACATACGATATGTAGCAGGTAGCGATTTGTCGTCGGATTATGAAGTACAGGAAATGGGAGGGTAAGAATTGTTCATGAGGTTGTTAATATTCAGTGAAACCTGTATATCAGAACACCTCTCCAATCTGAACACCTCTCAATGTGATCATTATTTCTCGATGCCAGACTTATTTCTCCAATTGATCGAAATGTTTATAAAACCTTGCAATTTGAGCACCTGCTAATCCCAACATTTTTTGCCAGTCCCAGAGGCATTCAGATGAGACAGGTTTCACTGTAGTTCACAAACTGACTTCAAATTCCCAAATTTCATTAAAAAGATATGTTTTATTTTTTATGAAATCATGAATTTATTTTTGTTTGATGGCTTTCTTCACTTTGTTTGAGTAATTTTTGCAGAGTAGGCCTTCATATAAACAGCCACTATTGCTCAGCTTGGACTATTGTAAAGACAAAATATTCCATTCTAAACGCATCAAAAAATATTTCTGATATATTTTTTCAGATACCGGTACTTTTATCAGCAATTTCGGAAAATCTCATGGAAAGAACTCTTCAATCTGAGGCAATATTCAGAGAATATCACAGAACTACACCTGAGCTATGTTAGCAATATGCAAATAATCGATCGAACAATAAAGCTTGGCCCTTTGAGTGAAATGATAGCCAAGGGGGTCTTGAAATCCGAGTCGGATGTTAATGTTACAATAAATGACTGTAGTGGAGGGGTTGGAGAACTCACTGTAACACCAAAGGACAAAACGAATGAGTCATTACCATTCAAAATAACAGTGGATTGTAATGTTGTCAGTGTTTATAGGAAACCTATTGTGACTAGGTATAAGGCTAGGCCAGCTCTGAGACCAAAAATCCAAACACATTGAAGTGAAATATACATGTAGACTGATAATTATTTGAATTTACGTCTTGGTGCATTTATCATGTTTACATGGTATTAAAGATGTAAAAGTATTATGGTAAAATTTTTAAGGTCTTTATTTGAACCACATTTTATTAATGATTTTACAAGTTCAAACAATAATGAACAATGCGTTTTAGATAAATAAAGTACATGATGTAGATACTTATTTTTACTTGGTCGAGTTCAAATAGATAGACATCTTATATGCTCATTGCTGATTTATAAAATAACGCAAAATTAATACTTAGGTGTTCACCATGAAAAAGAGACATCCTTTCTTCAAATTTATCTTCATAAGAAATTATTTGTCTATGCGCATTGACTGTACCTCTTAGCTGTATTAGCAATTTTATTTTCCCTATTTATGATACTTTATGATATTTATGAATCAAATCTGTAAGTCATGTGCAATAAAGGAATAAAGAACTTGCACGGTTTAAGTTAAATAAATTATATTGTGTTTGTTACAATATTATATTTATGGCACTATCAGGGACAAGGTCAATATTTCAGGTTGACCCCCTTTCCCCTAAAACTATAACAAAATATTAACTGATTCATTCTATCAGATTAAAAGTGTCCTCTTTTTAAAGGCCAACATCTCCTGACATACAATTTGTTTTTAGGCTGACGATATGGCTTTTAACTCAGACTGTCAATATGACTATTCATTGAGACTGTCAATATGACTTTTCACTGAGACTGTCAATATGACTATTCACTGAGACTGTCAATTTGACTTTTCACTGAGACTGTCAATATGACTTTTCACTTAGACTGTCAATATGACTATTCATTGAGACTGTCAATATGACTTTTCACTGAGACTGTCAATATGACTATTCACTGAGACTGTCAATTTGACTTTTCACTGAGACTGTCAATATGACTTCACTGAGACTGTCAATATGACTTTTCACTGAGACTGTCAATATGACTATTCATTGAGACTGTCAACATTACTTTTCACTTAGACTGTCAATATGACTATTCACTGAGACTGTAAATATGACTTCATTGAGACTGTCAATATGACTATTCATTGAGACTGTCAATATGATTTTTCACTTAGACTGTCAATATGACTATTCACTGAGACTGTCAATATGACTATTCACTGAGACTGTCAATATGACTTTTCACTGAGACTGTCAATATGACTATTCATTGAGACTGTCAATATGACTATTCACTGAAACCTCCAATGTGACTATTGGGGCTGTTCATCAGATGAGCTAACCAGTTCTGCAGCTAATGTCCTAACATCTTGCAGCATATCTCCTAATCCTATTGCTCCTGAAACAATTTAAAAGCAACTTTTTGATTTAACAACATATACAAGGAGAGAATGTATGTACATTTAACGAGTGTTTATATAATCCTTGGCACTGCATTATGTTTAAAAAGTCATACTCTTGCCGAAGCTAGAATTCTGTATTGAATAAGAATACTACAATATAAGACAAGAACTGGTCGTTAAATATGAAGTTAATCTTAATTTCACTTTAAAACCTTTTATTTTTATCTTTTATATCATTTAATTTTTACAGAAAAAAGCTTTCTTATGTTCAACTATTCTGGAAATATAATTGAGATCTGTTGACATTTGGCCCTGTAGTTGTTTAATTACAGTACCAAATATCAGCACATTTTAGCCGCATTTTAGGATGGTTACTCACTTGAACGTTTCTGCAATTGCAAATTAAAACTTTTAGAGCAAGATCATTGAACTTCTTGAACAACCTGAAATGTTACCTTCTCTGGTGTCTTTATTTTCTCCTTTTGGTGTGTCCTCATGTGTCCTTGTTCTTTGTTTGAGTGTCTCAGTTTGGAATGTTTTTAACTGGTGTGTGTCTGTTGATGTGTCACTTGAATCTACAGGTGGAGGATGCTGAGATTTGTACTTCCCAATCAGACCTTCTTGCTTCACAGTGGCCTGTATGACAGAAACAACATGGCTGGACAATTTCCACAATCCTCTGATATCCCCAAAGCAGTTGCACAGTAAATCAAGGCAGTAAATGAAAACATCATTGATGATGACCAGATCCTATGAAACTGTTTTGATGAATGTATAACTCTTGGTTAACTTCCCAATCTATGAAAGTTCATTTGATTGATGATGTCAGAATACAAAACCGGAGACCAAGAACTAATTATTTGCATTTGTGAATTTAAAGCTCGCTCACAAAGAATTAGAAGGTATTACACTATAAAGTGAAGTCTATTATTCAGCAAAGGGGTTTTATCCTGAGCTAACTGCAGTTGAACAGACAAAGCATTGTGAAAAGATTTAAAAAATTATGTCATTATTTATGTTAAATGTACTGTCATAAACATAGACCCATGTAAAAGCCCTATAAGTCATCTTAGCCCTACCATTAGCATGTTGCGCTCTGCATCTATGGTTCGTATTTGGGTATGAAGTTGTTGAATAGTGTCCTCATATGTCATCTGCAGAGATTTGAGTGCTTCAGTAGCTCTGGTTTTATCCCTAGCTGCCTGCCTCTCCACCTGCCTGCTTTGTACAACTGCAAGAACAATGTTTTACTTCTATGTCTACTTATAGCCTATTACTTGATTGCATTTGCTTGACTTTATCATTATTAATATGTTATTCAAGGTAGAAACTGCTTCAAAATCAATGTAATCAACAAAATCATTCCTTATAATCTCAAACATTTATTCTCCAATGAAGAAGGATCATAGATGTCTTCTCCAAAAGGGGAAATAATTGAAAAAAAATTCACAAGGCCTGTCATTTGGGCCTAGCATAGAAATTTTGTAGATTTTCAGTTCACATATTAGTATAATAGCAGAGTTGTAATTTACCGCCTGTTTCTCAATGATCTTCCCAGATTTTCATAAATCAAAATTTTCCAAAATGGCCAAAATTCATGACCTGATAGGTAAAAAACAAAAGATTAGCATCTCAATCTGGTCAAATCAATGCAAAGTGACAACTGAAAACAGGTGTAAACTGCAGATATGTAGCCTGAAGTTGGGCAATAAGTATTCTTGAAGGCAGATCCCTAGGAGTTCAAATGCGACATTAAACTTTATTTTCCCCACTCACTTGCTTTAGTTTGTTCCTTTAATGCATCATTCAGTTTTATTTCAATTTGGCGGAATTCTTCCTCCATCTTGCCTCTCTCATCTCGCCTTGACCTGTCTACATCTAAATGCAAATTTGAAATTCCGTTTGAAAGAAATTAATTTTACATGGAAATAAAGCAAAATCTGTGTAAGTGGATCACTTTTGGTACTTCAAAATTGTGTTCCATTTGGGAGGTGTTCCACTTACAGAGGTTCATTTTACATTGAGATATTGGGTTAAAGGACTTTGAATATTCCACTTATGGAGGTGTTCGACTTTTTCCTTGTTTAACTTTGTGAAAGAAATATTCCATTTTATATCATTAATTGTTCATTGTAACATCTTAATGCTACCAAAACATTCCATTTACACAGAATCCTTTATTTTAAATATAAACTTTGTGTTGTACTGTTTTCCAGATGTTCACATTCTACAACATACACAATCAACTTTATAAGTGCTATTTAAAACAAACTGAAATAGTCAATGTACCCTTTTCATGATCTGCCTTCAACCTCTTAATATCCAGTCTCAGGCCATTTACAGTTTCTTCCAGTTCTTGTCTGCTTACATTCACTTTGTCAAGCTCTGCGCAAATGGCGTCATATTTCTGGAATAAAAATACTGTATGTTGTTTTTTAGCTCACATGGTGAGCTTTTGCAACCACTCACTTGTTTTACCAAATTAATCATATTAAATTTGTGTAGTTATTCGTTTATGATAGCACACTAAAAGTTTAAAAATAGCCAAGTGTAGGATTATACAACCTGTTTATTGCTAAAGTGAACAGACCTGTGTTGCATGGTCCCTCTCTTCATTGAGATCTCTCATACGCCTTTGCATGTCCTCTACAGCTGTATCATCTAGAACATCAATGACATTAGCAATGTCAATAACATTAGCCTTGTCATATCAATCCATTTTGTTCATTAAGTTGGTTGACATTGAAGGCAAATAATGACCTGCTATGAGTTGCATTAAAGATGCCAATAATGAGTAGAGACATGGCCTGCATTTGACAATTTGAATATGACAATATAGTTCCTACAGTTCAGGTCTTACATTGATGTTTTATTGTGTTATACTTGGTTTCCATAGCTTGGGCGTCATTCTTTACTTGTGCAGCTAGAGAGTCTCGCTCCAGAGTGACTTGCTCAAGTTCAGAGTTGTACACTGTTCCTGAGACATCCTCTGTTTGTGTAGATCTGGTAGATAGGTTATCATCTCTAGATGGCAGCACTGAGCCATGATGGAGTCTCGTCAAGGCTTGTTTTCGTGCAAATTGAGCTGAAAGTTATTTGAGAAATATTGATGATGACTATTCATTTCATTTTTTATTTGAAGTTATATACATATTCATTCTTGTATATATTTCATAGATATACAGAAAAGCATTATGAGTTGCAGGTGGGTCAAAATGATGAATCCATTAATTTATCAAAGATATAAAAATGTTTTTGGAAGAACATCTTTTGAGTGAAACAACTTGATGGTAAGATATAATTTCACCTTGTAGAATCTCCACCCGCCCACTAGCGAAGCTAAGTCTCTGGTTTAAGGTAGAGAATGACTGAAGGGACATCTCCCATTGGGTATTCAAGCCCTCCAATCCTGACTGAACTCTGGAATAAATTATCAATGAAGTGTTAAAAGTCTACAGGTCTAGTTTCTGCAATGCAATATAAAAATTTATGTCTCTTACTTACAAAATGTACATTCAATTCCTGATTAAAACATGGAATTCTAATGATGTGTGTTCTGAATAGATGGGCATTGTGATTTTTTGTTTGCTGAAAAAAGTGATCTTTCCAGGATTTTTTGCCAATTCTTTTTTTGTCAATGCTAGAAAATTATATGAAACCTAATATTCACCATTTATGAAGCTGATTATTTATGAATGACTATTTATGAATGACTATTTATAATGGACATAACTAACTTACCATTGAATTGTTTGAATTCATATCAATGATAAGTGCATTTAGTACAACAAATAAAAATAGTAAGTAGTCAAAGACTTTCCCTGGTTAATAGCATCAGTCATCTAGATTCACAAAGTATGCAACTAATTTCTTTTAACTTTCTGAGCTTTATTCAAGTTTTGAATGTTAGTTATGTAACATGGTTTAACATTGATCATTTAATGGGTCATTTGTTTACATGAGTTTACAATCGTTGTGTGCTAAATAAAATTTTCTGCCATTATTACCTAACAATTTAATAACAACTTAACAATGACACAGTTCAAAGTGTTGTTACATTGATTGTTAATGACGTTAGCCCACCCACTATTTCAAATCTATTACTAAATGTGAATGAACACAATACATCCATGACATAGGAACATGACCATTACATGAGATTTATATGTTATGATCAAATAAAATGAACAAGATAACAGCAACGCCAAGGTATAGCAAATCCCATTGAACAGTCATAGTTGCCATTTTTAGAAATGGCTATTTTTTAGCCAAATTATGATTAGACAGTTTAATATTGGTCTAAGTATTTACAAAATTTCAACAAAACCGCTCCAATTCCTGTTCAGTTAAATTACTTGTCACTTTTTGCCACTCATTAATAATAAATCAGCATTATGCACACACATCCTGTGATGCAGCGAGGAAAAAAACTGAGGCGAAAACATATTTCCAAACCTGTTCAAAAGCGACGAGGCAAGCCATCTGCCTCATCCTGGCTACGCTACAACATTCCCATTATTCAGATTCTAAACTAGTGGCTATGTAGCTGTCAGAAATATGAATGTTAATGCAAATTCCTCAGAAATATAAACGCAAAGTTATACTTAGAAAAAACTATTAAAATATGAACTTTTTCGTTGATTGTGGCAATGGATTAATAGTTGCAGCTATGGTAAAGAAAAAACTATTCCACACACCTAAAGTGTTTGGCATGATAGTGTTTATAGTGATGATTTTGATTAATACATTGATAATCGCAATTTATATAAAGATACTAGTGATTGTACGGAAACAGCTTAAAAGTATTGCTGCAATGGACATAGAAAATTTTAACTCAGGAATGAATAACACATCGTTCTTGTGTTTCATATTGCTGCCTTTTGCAATAGCAGTGTTATTGGATTATGAAAACGTACCAATGCCTCGGGTAACATGGAGCCTTGTCACAATGATAGCACGCCTCAACTCAGCTATCAATCCAATCATGTGGCATATATCAGACAGATTATAGGAACGCAGTTAAGCAACTATGTAAAAGAAATGCTGACAATAAAGTGAAGGAAATCTCAGTGATTCAAAAGTATAACTAATATTACTGTAAGAACAGAAGTTTGTGAATCTGTTGTACACTGGTAGATCAGGGAATAAAATGTATCAGTAGATATTGACTCTGTAAACTGTACATGCCATAAGAACAAAATTTTAGTTAAAGTTGTTTACATTGGAATTTCCAGTGTACTTTATGAAGACATAAATCCTCTCATGGTTTGGAACAGTTCCTGAAGGAGTTCCACTTAGACAGGTTTTACAAAATTTGAACCAAATCCATAAACTGGTTCTTGAGTTATCATTATGTTTTTCTGAAAAATGGCAGCCATTTTGAAATTCAGCCACTATCTTGAAAATTCTTTCTTGAACAGAGCTACTGTGTCCCTAAACTCAGCATATAAAATTTGAACCAAATCTGTCAACTGGTATTTGAGTCATTAAAGATTACATTTTTTACGAAAAATGACTGCCATTTTAAAATTCAGCCTCCATCTTGAAAATTCTTTCTCTAACAGAGCTACTGTGTCCCTAGGCATCATCATATAAAATCTGAACCAAATCCGTTCACTGGTATTTGAGTTTTAGCATGCAGCCATCTTGAAAATCTCTTCTTGAGCGAAGCTCCTTTGTCCTTAGGCATCAACATATAAAATTTGAATCAAATCCGTCAACTTGTATTTGAGTTATCAAAGATTCCATTTTTTTACAAAAAATGGGCGCCATTTTGAAATTCAGCAGCCATCTTCAACATGTATGATGAACATGACTTGACTTCAGTTTGAAATGTCCAATCATCTCAACCTTGTGAGGAGCAATCATTTTGAAAGATTGGATGTCTCTTTTTCAACCAGAACAACGGCAACGCCAAAGCGTAGCGAATCCCATCGAACAAAAATGGCTGGCATTTTTACATACGAAATATATAGCAAATATCATAAAATAACATACATAAGAAAGGCCACCATTTTAAAAATGGTTGCTCACTAGCCAAGTTGTCATCAGAAGTAATATGCTTTTTTTTCTAGCATTCACAACCAAATATGAACAAAATCGCTCCACTACTTTTCAAGTTATAGTAAAATACTTTAAAATGGTGGCCATTTTTCAAAATGGCCGCCTTCTACCAAAAGTGTCATTAGACAGTGTGCCATGCTTATAGTATTCACATACCAAATATGAATAAAATCGCTCCACTACTTTTCAAGTTACAGCAAAAGTTGTAAAATAACAAGTAAAGGCCGAGTAAAATACGTTTAAATGGCGGCCATTTTTCAAAATGGTCACCATGCATCTACCAAAAGTGTCATAAGACAGTGTACCATGCTTATAATATTCACATACCAAATATGAACAAAATCGCTCCACCACTTTTCAAGTTATAGTAAATACTCGGGGTGGAAAATTTTCTAAGAGGCTTCGTTAAGGAAAAAATGACTTTTTGAGCTGGATGGAATTTCTGTGTATTTTCTATTCTATTAGGGTGTCCTGCATAAAGGATTTCGCCTGCGAAGCATATAACTCTTGCGAACATATCTAAATACTGGTCCGAAGAAGACATACCTTGAATTTTTTAGAAAAAATTGGCTAAAAATGGAAACAACAAGAAGTCAAAATGTTCAACTCAAAAAAAGTTGTAGCTATTCTATATCAATATTTTGTGTTATGTAAGGTTTCTCAGATGTTTCAAGACCTTCATTAGTATACTTGTGTCTAGAAATGTGACATTTAAGGACAAAATTTGGCATTTTTAATCATTTTCGCTTTCAGCATTTACATATAATTCCTTATATCTCAAGTTTAATGATGACTGGTTGTTGCATTTTTGATTAAATCTGTGCTTGTACATGTGTTCTTCCATTTAAGGTATAGAAAATGTATATTGGACCACCAATGCTGGTATGAGAGCTTTCAGATCTCCCCTACCCCATTTATTATGGAAAATTACCGAAAAATATGAAAAAATAAAATTACTTGAAATTATAAACTTTAACAAAGTTGTAGCTATTCTATGTCAATATTATGTGTTATTTAATGTTTTTAAGATATTTCAGAACCTATATCGGTATACAAGTAGCTAGAAATGAGACATTTAAAGACAAAACTTGGCACTTCTTTTTATCATTTTCGCTTTCAGCAGTAATATATAGTTCCTCATATCTTGAGTTTTATGCTGTCTGATTGTTGCATTTTCAATCAAATCTGTTTTTGTGCATGTCTTCTTCCATTTAAGGTATAGAAAATGTATAGTAGACAAACAATGTTCATATTAGAGCTTTCAGATCTCCCCTACCCCATCAATTATGGAAATAAACGAGAAATATGAAAAAATAAAATAACTTGAAATTATAGACTTTCATAAAGTTGTAGCTATTCTATATCAATATTATGTGTTATTTAATGTTTTTAATATTTTTCAGAACTGTTATTGGTATTCAAGTGGCTAGAAATGAGACTTTAAGGACAAAACTTGTCATTTTTTAATCAATGCTGCTTTCAGCAGTAACATATAGATCCTGATATCTTGAGTTTTATGCTGACTGGTTGATGCATTTTTGATTAAATCTGTTCTTGTACATGTCCTATTCCATTTAAGGTACTGAAAATGTATAGTGGACAAACAATGTTCATATTAGAGCTTTCAGATCTCCCCTACCCCATTTATTAGTCTAAGAGAAGATGACTGTAAAATATAAAAAATAACTTCAAACTACCAGTATAAACTTTAACAAAGATGTAGCCATTCTTAATGTGTTATTGATTGCTGTAATTAATGTTTTAGGACCTTCATTAGTATTCTAGTGTAGAGAAATTAGACATTTAAGAACAAGTTGTCATTTTTCATCAATTTTTCATCATTTCCACTTTTAGCAATAACATATAGTTCCTTATATCTTGAGTTTTATGCTGATTGGTTGATGAATTCTTGATCAAATCTGTTCTTTTGCCTGCCTACTTTGATTTAAGGTATTTAAAAATGTATATTGGAAAGCCTGTCATTATATTAGAGCTTACATATCTCCCTTACCCCATTTATTTTGAAAAATAACCAGAAATATAAAATCAAACAATTTCAAAGTATAGACTTTAACAAAGTTGTCGCTATTCTAGTTCAATACTAAGTATTATTTGATATTTTTCAGATGTGTCAGGAACTTCATGAGTATACAAGTCTAAAAATTAGACATTTAAAGTTGAGTTGCAAATGGGGCGGGTATTCTCTATCTTTGTCCATTGGGCTTTTCTGGTTATAATATGTTGCAAACTGCTCATGAATCTATGCAATTATAGTAGAACACTTGGAATATATTTAAAGTAGTGTGATAATTATAACCAGTGATCAAGCCATATTGGTTGAATTCCCTCATATCAATTGCAATGTTGTCAAAGGCTTGGTGATTTCCATATTACACCTAAGTGTGGTGTAATTAGGAAGTTCATGATGGATATTGGGCTTGGGGATATTTTGGTAAATGCAAACATTGTGAAATGAATAACAGCCAACAAGATGATTTTGGAAAGTATTACAAAATGGTAAGCTGTCTTTGGTTTGTGAAGCAATGTTACTGTACAGGGTGTCCGGGAAGTAAAGATACAAATGCTCTAATTTCAATAGATTTACCTGTTGTAAGATGAAATTGCTACAGATTATAGAATGACATTATAATAATTAATCCTGCAACTGTCACGACAATTTGTTTCAAAATGAAAAAGTTATGGCTGTTATGGTAACGGTAGTCCCTGGTATGTGGAGCAGCGTCACAATTATGTTTTATAATTTTTTTCTCCTGCCGATATCATCTTGACACTCCATCATCTGTTGTATTATACATCAAATGATGTACCACAACAGCAAAAGAAGTAGTACTGTAACATTATTTGGTCATTTGACATTACTACTTTTATCCAGTATTATGTATTTCCCAACATTATCTAAACATTCATGGTGCATCTTGACCAGAGATTTAAGACCTGACAAAACCGCTGATGTCCATCTCTCAGATTACTGATAAAATAGGCTTCAAGCAGTCTCATTTTCTTGTTGAACTTCTAACAAATATTGCTTTAAGATTTTCATTAATGAAGGAGTCCAACAGGACCTTCTCAGTGTAATATGGGCCATTGTACAAAATTAAAAGGTTTAATGTCAAGACATTCAATTGTAAGGTTTGTTTTCTTTGCTTTGTGAATTGGTGCATTCAGGAAGTGCACTATTGACTTTCCTATTAATCCAGGGACCTTTTTTCTAAGCACTTAAATAATGTTTCTTTGATTATACTGGTTAGTGACTTTATATAGTTATGATATGCATCAGTGATATCATTAGTCTAAAGAGAATACTATGGCAGCAAGAATACAATATTGAACAAAACAAAACATTGATAGGAAATACAATAATAAACACTGTTTCAAATGGTTAAATTCTAGCAATTTATGACAATTTAGCGACATCATGGAACTGCTCCTCATACCCCTGACCACCGTAACCATGACAATCGTAACTTTAACACGTTGATGTTATAAAATTTGGTAGATGAATTGTAATCTAAACCGAAATCTATTCAAATTAGAGTGTTTGTATCTTTACTTTCCGGACACCCTGTATCTCTAAATTATGGGATGAGTTTCACTTATGGCAGAGCTGCTATTGAACTTTGCAAAACTGATAGTTGCAACAATCTATCAAATACTGATCATGAAGAAGTAGACACTCTCCTTATGGCCCATACAGTGCTGCAGACAAGACAAGGGAATTCAATGTTGAGAGAATTTGTATTAAATTGATAAAGTTCGAGAGTTGTGAACAATCATGTTTATTATATAGACATATCCTTTGATTCATATGAGAGTAAACTGTAAAATAACAAAATTATTTCGCACTATTCTATTTTGAGTATTCTTTTAAAAATATGGTAGTGTAGTAATTTTATCTCTAATATGTATATTGGTGTTTAAATCACATTTTCCATGCTTTGAAGATAACAATATGTCAACTAATCCCCATTCAACTAAAAATATAAACAACTATTGCTGAAAGTGAAAAATTGGTCATTTTGCCCATTTATGTGTCATTTTTTGATTTTAGTGTGCTAATAAATGTGCTAAACTTTTGAAAAGTTTAAGCATATTAACATACAATAATAACATTTGTGTTGGTTTTCTTATTAAATGGTAGAGGGCAGATCTTAGACCTCTAATAAAAAAAAACATTCGTTGTCTTACATACATTTTCTTTAACTTAAATCAAAGAAGACAGATTCAATATATGAATCTATCATCAAAGAATTATAATTGTGGAAAATCATATGCTACTGCTAAATGCAGAATGCTAAAGATGCCAAATTTTAGGCACATGTAATCAAATGAAGGTTATATTAAATAATACATAGTATTGATAGAGAATAGCTACAATTTTGTTAAAGTTTATGTTTTGAAATTACTTTTTCATTTACATTATAAATGGGGCAGGGGAGACATGAAAGCTCTAATATCAACATTGGTTGTCAAATATACATTTTTTCTATCCTAAATGGAAGAAGACATGTACAAGAACAGATCTGACCAAGAATGCACCAACTAGTCAGCATAAAACTCAAGATATAGGGACCTATACGTTATTGCTGAAAGCGAAAATGAAAAAAAAGCCAAGTTTTGTCCTTAAATATCTCATTTCTAGGCATTAGAATACTAATGAGGGTCCTGAAACATCAGAAAAAGATTAAATAATACATAGTTTTGACAAAGAATATGTACAACTTTGTAAAAGTTCATAATTTGAAGTTATTTTACTTTTAATTTATTAATATTTTCCAGTCATTTTTCCTAATAAATGGGGTAGGGGAGATCTGAAAGCTCTACTATGAACATTGGTCATCCACTATACATTTTTTATATCTTAAATGAAAGAAGACATCTACAAGAACAAATTTGACTAAGAATGCACCAACCAGTCAGCATTTAACTCAAGATATAAGGTATGTTATTGCTGAAAGCAAAAATGGTAAAAAAAGCCATGTTTTGTCCTTAAATGTCTCATTTCTAGGCACTAGTATACCAATAAAGGTTCTGAAATATCTTAAAAACATTTAATAACACATAATATTGATATAGAATAGCTACAACTATATTAAAGTTTATAGTTTCAAGTTATTTTATATTTTCATATTTTTCTTATAATTTTTCATTATAAATGGGGTAGGGGAGATCTGAAAGCTCTAATATGACCATTGGTGGTCCAATATACATTTTCTATACCTTAAATGGAAGAAAACATCTACAAGAACAGGTTTGATTAAAATTGCAACAACCAGTCAGCATAAAACTCAATATATGAGGAACTAAATGTTACTGCTGAAAGCTAAAATGATTTTAGAAAATGCCAAGTTTTGTCCTTAAATGTCTCATTTCTAGGCACTAGTATACCAATAAAGGTTCTGAAATATCTGAAAAACATTAAATAATACATAATATTGATATAGAATAACTACAACATTGTTAAAGTTTATAAATTCAAGTTATTTTACATTTTCATATGTTTCAGTAATTTTTCATAATAAATGGGGTAGGGGAGATCTGAAAGCTCTAATATGACCATTGGTGGTCCAATATACATTTTTTGTATCTGAAATGGAAGAAGACATATACAAGAACAGATTTGATTAAAATTGCAACAACCAGTCAACATTAAACTCAAGATATAAGGAACTATATGTTACTGCTGAAAGCGAAAATGATCAAAAATGCCATATTTTGTCCTTAATTATCTTATTTCTAGACACTAGTACACTAATGAAGGTCCTTAAACATCTGAAAAACATTAAATAATACATAGTGTTAATATCAAATAGCTAGAGTTTTGTTTGAGTTGGAACATTTTGACTTTTTGTAGTTTCCATTTTTAGCCTATTTTTTCTAAAAAATTCAAGGTATGTCTTCTTCGGACCAATATTTAGATATGTTCGCAAGAGTTCTATGCTTCGCAGGCGAAATCCCTTATGCAGGAAACCCTAATAGAATGAAAAATACAGAGAAACTCCATCCAGCTCACAAAGTCATTTTTTGCACAATTCTCACACCTTCCACCCCGAGTAAAAATACGTTAAAATGGCAGCCATTTTTCAAAATGGCCACCTTCTACCAAAAGTGTCATTAGATAGTGTGCCATGCTTATATTATTCACATACCAAATATGAACAAAATCGCTCCACTACTTTTCGAGTTAAAGTAAAATACGTTAAAATGGCAGCCATTTTTCAAAATGGCCGCCTTCTACCAAAAGTGTTATTAGACAGTGTGCCATGCTAATTGTATTCACAAACCAAATATGAACAAAATCGCTCCACTACTTTTTGAGTTATAGTAAAATATGTTAAAATGGCGGCCATTTTGAAAAATGGTGGCCATTTTTCAAAATGGCCGCCTCCTACCAAAAGTGTCATAGACAGTGAGCCATGCTTATAGTATTCACATACCAAATATGAACAAAATCGCTCCACTACTTCTTGAGTTACAGCAAAAATCGTAAAATAACGAGTAAAGGCCGCCATTTTTCAAGATGACTGCCATGTGCTTCTTTAATATCTACATTTCTAGCTTTATCAATGTCCTATATAATTTTTTTACATTTAAAACATATTGCTATTACAGTTTTACATATTGCACCTAAATTACAGTAAAATCGGCACTAAAATGGCCGCCATTTTTAAATGAGCGGCCATTTTGAAAATCGGCTCTCGAGCAGAACTTCTACCCCCGTAGGGTATATGTGTACAAAATATGAACAAAATCGGGCCAACGGTATTTGAGTTATTGCCCGGACGGACGGACGGACGGACAGACAGACGGACGGACGGACGTACGTACAGACGTACGTACGTACGGACGGACGGACGGAGGCGTTCCCTATATCCCTCCGAACTTCGTTCGATGGGATAATTATGACTCAGCATTGTTAGGGGAAGATAGAATGCTCTTTGTAAAGACTACTTTTAACATTTTACAGTCTCTCTTTACTTTGATTCCATTAATTTCAAATACATGATCAAATCTGAATGCGAAAGGCTCATGTGAATACATGTACATAAATCTGCCCTAATGGAGACCAAATCCAGAATTGTTTTAGAACAAGATTTTTGAATAAATGTCACACAAAAAACAGTCAATATTGTTCTATTAATTGACAAAAACAATCATATTAATCCATGAGAGTGATGGTTAATGGATCACTTTCACATAATCTGTCTTGTTATGTGTGATATATGCTTTTACTTGGATTAAGTTTCTATAAACATAACTCATTAGTGAATCTTTGTATTGATCCTGTTTTGTACTTGAATAGTTTGCCTATAATACAATCCATTAAGTTATGGTTGAATAAGTAATCATAGCTCACTGGCCTACTCCTACTTATTTCAATGTGAAAACCTAATCCCCTGCCGCAATAGACAAGGTGAACAGTCATAACTAGGAATATAATAAAAATTAATAAAGAATTTATCGGTGAAGAACTAAAAAGGGAATGAAACGACTGTATTAGGATTAAAAGAGACAAAGTTACCATCATTGCTGCATAGTCAAATTAGACCTTACCTATGACCAATTTTCATTTTCAGGATGAAATAGGTGTTGAAAGATGATATTCTGAGCTCAATGCAGCTTCATTTATAGCCTCACAAACAATACTAACAGTATCAACAAATACATTGATCAGTTGAAACCTTAAAAAAGGGAACACTTCCACACTTGTTTGAATACATACATAATGAATGTCACAGCAAACAATGGATTGCACTTAACTAACTCAAACTATTTGACAATCATATTGACTTTAATTGACATTGTAATGATAATCTGTGGCAATGGATTAATACTTGCAGCGATAGTAAAAAAGAACCTTCTTCAAACACCAACCCACATTTTGGTTGCCATAGTTACAACAATTGACTTTATAGCAGGGTGTTTTGCGGCACCTATACATTTGTACTCAAGAGTCTTTAACAAAACATATTGCCCGATTTCATACAGTGTAATGTATCTAACTATGTACACATCAAGTAATGTTGTTTTCTTGATAGCTATTGAAAGATATTTTGCAATCTTGCATCCATTTATTTATCAAAAATGGATGACTTTGAAAAGGATCAAATGGGCAGGTGGAGTGGCATGCGCAATACCATTTCTGCATTTGATCTACCTTCCAATATTTTACACTTCACCTCCAGGCATGGAAATCTTGGAGAATGTACATGACATGGAGTGTATTGTAAACGAGGTCTACCCAAAAATATTTGGTATGATATTATTTTTAGAGATGATTTTCATTGGAACATTAATCGTGGGGATATACATGAAGATATTAGTGATTGTACGGAAACAGCTTAAAAGTATCGCCGCAATGGACATAAAGAGGTTTGACACTGGAATTAAAACAACACAGGATCGAGATCTGAGGAAATCAGTAAAGAAGACGTTGTTCTTATGTTTTATAGCCTACTTCCTTATTATATCATGGCTGCCTTTTGCGATTGCAGTGATACTGGAATATTACAATGTGTCATCAACTCGAGTTGTATGGAGCCTTGTTTTGATGACAGCATGCCTCAACCCAGCTATTAATCCAATCATATATGCTGTTTATCAGAAAGATTATAGAAACGCAATTAAACAACTATGGAAAAGAAACAATGGTAATGATGTAGAAGAAATTTCAATAGATCAAACCTATAACTGATGTTACTGTCTAAAGAAATCTCACTGAATTAAGCAATTCTAAATAATGGGGGAGGGGGAGGGTATTACACACATTAGATTATGGTTTGGGATAGTTGGGGTTTGTTTTCCTTATGAATATTGTACACTTAGATGTTCTTGCTGGGTTTAGTAACAATTTGGCACTTGTGCATAAATATCTACCTGTAAATAATTTTTCTCATGAAGTTTTATATTCTATTCTATTTTCAAATTTCATCCACTGATACAGGCAAGTACCATGAGATAAAAAAAGAAATAAAAAAGAACCTACATTTCAACAGACTTCTAAATATGCATATCGTTCCTTGAATATTATGATTGCGTTTTTCAAATTTCTGTAAATATATAGTACTATGCTAATAGTTAAACTGGCAGCAAAGGATAAAACATTATTAATCGGGGGCCCGTTTTTGTAAAGTTTATGGTAACGAACGTTCGTAAGTCCATTATTTAATCTGCGAATTCCAAAAAGTTGTATTTTCGTAAGATTCGTTTTACCAATACTTCATAAAATTATGAATAAAGTAACATCATGCTTTCTTTCGTAGATTTTATAGCACCTCTGACCCTTTCATAACTTTGCGAACAACTTCTTATTTATTAATATATAGTGTAATTTGTGATGTTCTGTCATTCTTTAGAGAACACAAAGGGGGACACTGATCAAATTATTATCAACCTATTGCTATATCTGGTTTAGTTTTTTTCATAGAATCTTTATTTTAATACAATTCTTACTGTACGACTTTGATTTTATTATTTTGATAAATCCTATGTGTTGAACTAACTGCTTTGACAACTGTAGAATATGGCGTCAATTCATTCGTAAATCTAGCTCAAAACAATTGAAAAAGTACAAATTATGCATACAAAAATGGTCCATCGCATCTTTACGAATTCGCAACTCGTTCGTAACTTTTTAAATATTTACAAATGTTGATCAATTTTTAAATTTCGAATGTTCGCTACTAGGAATGGTACAAAAATGGGTCCCAGGAAACAATCTTTTCCATAAATGTGTCAATATGTCTAGGTCTATGCCAATAATTTGAAAAGGATGAGCTCATTATAAGTAAGTTATATAGAATTTAATAAATTTTTTAGACTTTAACAATTGAAAAAGATCTATTGTTTCAACTCATTTTAATACTGTAGGAGACATCTTCCTACAGTCAGTGTTATTTTCATTCAGATTACAATATAATATCATATGGTCAGAACAAACAATGAACAAACATTGAACATAAACTATATATACTTACTGTTCGGCAAACTGTGTTAATTTAGTGACATGTTCCACTTCTTTGTTATTTTTCGCATCTAGCATTAGCGCCACCTGCTGGCTATTTGTAATTTCATTTTGTAATACCTAAAACAAATCTTTTTGTCATTTCATATTTTACGTTTTGAATCATAATAAATGTACTGGTTGGTTGTATTCATTACTATTTATCAAAAGACTATATTCAAATTTGAAAAAAAGGTCGAGACTCTTAAATTAAGAAGCTGTAGATAAAGTTCTATACTGAATGAACCTAGCTACTATGAAAAATGCAGTTAACATTTAAAATAAATTAACCATTGTGAAGTTAAATATAATGGCTTGTACTCATTTAATTAAATAAGTCATAAGGGACAATATAGCGACAAATGGATTTAATAATTAGCTGTAGGGGGAAAATGTTCATGGCATTCAACTAGCATACATTATAATGTACAAATTCTAATTTCACTAGTTCCCACCTTAGCGCTACCTGGTTATAAAGACTTTACATCTTTAACACAAATGAATGAACTTTTGTTGGGGGAAATTTGTAAATGAGTTTCCAGATATTTTACCCGTATGGCTATGGTAACATCCAGGTTGGAACCTGGATGAATTTGAAGAGTCAATAAATTTTCAATTGCATTTTCGAACAATAGGTGGGGCAATCTCAAATACAATAAATCTAGTTTCAAGATTCATCCAAATAATTCCCAGGGGCGGATCCAGGAACCAACAAGGGGGGGGGCAAATTTCAGGTCAGAGATCAGGTCAGAGAAAAAGCCCCATTTTTGAAATTTTGAGGCCCATTTTCTTCAAATTTTGGCCCAGATTTTTTGTTTGTTTTTGGGCCCAACTTAGGGGGGGGGGGCGGCCCTGCCCTGCCCCTGGATCTGCCACTGGTTCCATTTCATAATACCTATCTTATATAAAAGTGCCTAATTACCTTGTTGTCATTACATTGTATATCAAGCTGAGCCTGGAGATCAGATATTGTATGTGTCAGAACTTGTACCTTCCCTTCAGCCTCAGATAGCTTCTGTTCAAGACCTGCAATCTGGGAACATTAAATGGATCAGTTTTAATATTTTCAAATATTAAAATTTATTTACACAAAGGTATTACATAAACATAACTAAATTCAAGCAATATTGGCATTATAGCTGCCAATATGGGTGTAATCAGACAACATACCTTGAGTTGATTGTTGCTTTATTATATTAAAAGAGTTGATTGTTCAGGCCTGTAGCCAGGGGGGGGGGGGGTTCGATGGGTTCAAGCGAACACCCCCTGGCCAAAAAAATCTTTCAAAATCATGCAGTTTTACATCATTCTAAGCACTTATTTTGGCCATTTTTGGACCAAAATTGTCACAAGTGAACCCCCCTGGAATTTTTCAAAAAGTGAACCCCCCTTGGCAAATCCTGGCTAAGGGCCTGTTGTCCATACCATACCTTCTCTTGATAATTCTGAGCATCCTTCTTACTGACTAGATCACTTGATTTCTGTTGAATAAGCAGCACAAATACTTTCTCTCTCCACCTGAAAAAGAACATAGGATGAACTCATTATGACCTTTACCAAGAGACATGTACCTGGTAACCAACTAAGCAGCACAATGTAAAACATGCTATAACTACCATCTACAAACACACTGGATAAACAAGGCATTAACATGCAAAATATCACCACTTTCTGGTGTTGACAGCTAAACAGGCTAGATAAAGTTATTACATTTAACATGTTTATTGTTTAATACTGGATGTTTATACTAAACAAGGCATTAACATGCAAAACGTCACCAACTGCATTTGTAAGACGCTGACCACCGAACACCAATGACTGGCATCAACCAACAAACACCATCAACAGACTATATAAAAATATGTCACATTATGTCTTCATATCGCAATAACTTGAAGTGTGTTGTACAATAAACAACAGACGACATCACATGAAGACTTGGAGTGTGTTACAATACACAATAAGGCACCCGCAATAAGGGGTGCCCAATAACTTCAATCATGCTATATGGGTATATAATGTCTTACCTTGTCAGTAGAGAATTCAACTTGTTGCTTTGGTCCTTCTCACCCTGTAAGTACAAAGAAAATCAGTCAATAAAAGTACTCCTACATCAATCCCCTGAACACACTACTTTATTTGCTGATATTTGGCACATATAAGCAATAAGTAACACATACATAAAGATATTCAATACATGCACATTTCAAAGGATACAGGTTTATGAATTAAGACTTATTTCATTAATATCTACAATTGTATTTTTTGTCTACTATATAGCTAATGTTAATTCTACCTTGCATAGTGCTGTTTCCTGTATGGAGAGTATTTCCTGGGTTGACTTCAACCTGACATCCTGTAATTCTAGCTTGGATTCTATTGCATCTTTCTCCCCCAATGCTGTCTGGAATATAGCACATTCAAGATATTATGAAAATAGTCTTGAATACAAGATCATCCGAGAAGCTCTCGGGCCAAACTTATTCCTTAGGCTACATTTTCAATGATTTCTAAAGGAGCGTTTCTTATATATGTATTTTTGCAATATTGAAGTAAAAGAAACAAGGCATTAACATGCAAAATGTCACCACCTGCCATTTGTTACAGATGCTAACTGCATGCTAAACACTGAACAACTACCGAGAACACCATGCACAAAAAGTTGGGGAATATAACAATATGTCACCACTTCTGCTTAAGTGACATAAAAAGTTGAGTACATGTAATTTCTTTTCAAAAATAATCCCTGTTAAACAGACATTTATTATGAAGCAGCCTCACCTTCAATTTTGTGGAGAGTTCTTCAGTTTGTTGTCTCCAGAGCTCATTGGATTTACTGGTTTGTTGACATTCAGATAAGTAAACCTTCAGTTGAGATATTTGATCCTCTAGCTTTCTCATTTCACTGCTTTTGTCTCTGCAAAATATTTTTTCTTAAACATATTACTGGTGAATAAACTGTGAAGAAATTAACTTTCAACTAGAAGTTGGAATTAAAAAGCCAAAAGAATTTCTTATTTACTGGAGTATATTCATGTATTTTTCTCACATATATCTTTTACATTCAGATATTATCACACATATCATCTCATCAAATATTTTCAATTCTTGTTATAAAACTAAAAATACTTACTTTTCTTGAGATTTCAAGTCCTCCACTATTTTCTCATTTTGTTGCTTAAGTTCTCTATTCTGGTCATTTAGTGTTTTAGTTCTGTGTGAAAGTTCATTGGTCAATTCCGATATTTTGTCTTCTAGTTGGCTTTGTCGGGATCTTGCAGCCTCTTTCTGAGTCTCACCTTGTGATGTCATCTCTGAGATCTGACGGTTAAAAATATTTCTCTTTGATTTAATTGAAGTAAAATTGATACAGGTAATTAACATGGAAGATGTCACTTGAAAATGGTTACAAAAGTGTTACAATTGTTACAGAGACACTGAATGCCAGCTTTAACGAGATGACAAAATCTGCCATAGAACAAGTAGTGTTCTAGTGAAATGAGTTTTGATGTTATTTGTTAATATCATGTGCTAACTCTTTATTTTTCAGAAATAGGACATTCTCTTTATGGCATTGTAAATTATTTCAGGGGCGTCAGACCATATTTGAAAAAGGGGTTCCTTTTTTCAAGAAAACATCTGGGGGTGTCAAGGGGCATGCTCCCCCTTGGAACTTTAACTCAACGCACCTCCCCCCTTCTGATGCCTATAACTTCCTGATAATTGTCGTTCATTTTACCTGTTTTTGATAACTTGATTCTGTATTTTGCAAATCTCTCTCTAGATCAGCTATCTGTCTTTCCAAGTTACGTTCCTGTGACAACATTTCACGATTTAATCTGCTCAGTTCCTCATTCTGTTTCTCACACTGGCACTTCAACTCAGATTTAAGATTTGCGATCTCTGTAGCCTGGCGTGTGATGATGTCATTGAGTGGTAGCCAATCGGATTGTTGACGTGAAGAGGGATGATGAACATCAATGTGAGCTCGAATTTCCTGACAGAACAGAGATTAAAAATTATACTCTTCAAAGCATTGATTTACATCCAAATGCCTTCTGTTTACTTTTTTACAAGATTATACAAATACAGTACATTGGTCTAACAGAAAGATGGCACCAGTGTATGCCCAGATGTTAATTATGAACAACTTATCCTGGATAAAGTTATAAGAACATATTTAACAGGTCAATCTAGAGAAGAAACATTAAATTTTGAGGGAGAGGAGAGAACAGACTTATTTGATGCCCTGTATATATCTACATTTTGAGTATGTATTCCTCATTAAAGTTCATTTTATATTCATACAAAATAAATAGCCGTAAAACATACACTTGAGAACGTATCTGGCATTAAAACAGGGTGGCAACCTAAAAGAGATTCAGTGTATAAAGTGATGAACTCAACCTACATCAGGAGCTGCAATGAGTGCTTTGGGAACTTGCAGAGGTTGAACTGGTGCTGGTTCTGGTTCTGGCTTCCTGAAATACATGTGCATTTGATTACAAACATATTTGTACAAATAATATGTCATTTTCAATGATTATCATTGTAAATGTACATATTGACATGTATATACATGTATACATTTACAAAAATAATGTACAATGTACTTTCTTCTGAGTTTTTTACAGTTTCCATTTATTTCAAGTGGTCTCTCAAAATGTAATAATGTAAATACAATTAAATTGCATTGGCTAATTGACTGACATTGCACGGCAATTGATATGGAATATTTCTTAGAGTCAAAATTGGAAATTAAAAAATACTTGAGTTAAAAAATCATACTGATGACTTACTTGGCCTTTAGAGCTTCATATTCGAGACGTAATTGTAAAAGATCATTGGTGACTTTTGACAGTGATTTCCAGGGGTCTTCTTGCTTCTGGATGGGTACTTGGAACCTAGATGGCGGGATAAGTTCAGTGTTAGGTATTCTCTTCTCTTTCTGGCTCACAGAGGGACCTCCTAGAAATTGTTAAAAATTAAATAAAACTCATACAGGACCTTGAAATTCAAACTGAGTTATTAAATTCTTAAATCCCAATATAAGTAGACAACAAAATGTAACATCTCTATGATTTATATAATATGTGTTTGTATTTTGATGCTTCTCTGACATGTAATTTTCAAAAAATAAAATATGGCTAAAACCTACTAAATTTAAATGTACAAAAGGCCAATCAATTGTTGCAGGGACAAGCCCTTACTCCAAAACCTGTTACTCCGAAACCCAATACCCTAAAATACATTACTCAGTAACCCAATACTTCGAAACCCATAACTCTGAAACCCAATACTCCAGACACATTACTCTGAAACCCATAACAGTCCAAAACCCAATACTAAGAAACCCATAACTCCGAAACCCATAACTCCGGAATGCATTACTGAGAAACCCAATTCTCCAAACACATAACTTCGAAACCCAATACTCCAAAACCTGAAACCTATTTCTTTGAAACTCAATACTCCAAAACCCGTTATTTTGAAACTTATTACTCCGAAACCCAAAACTCCAAAGGCATAAACCAAAACCTAATAATCTGAAAAAGTCATTAGAAACTCATGGACCATGATCAGATTTTTCTGAGTAATACCATGGGCTCTATGAGATCATGGTAGAGCCCATGGTATTACTTGTGGTTTACATAGCTAAACTTTTATTATGTTGTTTGGGATCATAAAGGCGACAACCACATTTTTCTGGGGCAATACTTGTACTTAAGGTACAGCTGGAAAGTAACATTTTGGTAAAAATTGCTATACCAGCACATGTTATTTTCTGGTACAAAATAAAGTATGAAGACATGTATCAATTTCCTTGCTTTTTTCAGGAAAGTATCATTACATTGTCTTCTTTTAGAATATCTGGTAGGCGTTCAAAGGGAACTCCAGGGAATTCTGATATTTCACACTTCCTGTTTTTCCAAATTTTCTTTCAAAGTTTCCAGACAACACAGGAGCTACCATTGACCTGTTTCCAGGTTTACTAAAAGTAGACAGTGTAATGATACTTTCCTGAAAAAAGCAAGGAAATACACGCATGCCTTCATACTTAATTATGTACCAGAAAATAACATGTGCAGGTATAGCAATTTTTTACCAAAATGTTACTTTCCAGCTGAACCTTAAGCTTGATTTTCGGAAAATTGGGTTTCGGAATATTGGGTTTCGAAGTATTGGGTTTCTGAGTAATGAGTTTACATATATTGAATGAGTAAAATACGAATGTATTTTTCCATGACTGCTGCAGTAATAACCCAATCGAAATAAACTAAAGACAAGAGCTCTAATAGTAGCCCAAGGGTGATTGATTGTAAAATTGTTTTGGAATGGGCGATAATAGGTTACAATTCTACAAATGTTCTATTTTACACCGATGTAGACTAAATTGTTTAAAACTATGTTCGAAGAAAACTAAACAATTATTTGCAGAGTTAAAAAGGGGCCAAATCTTACCAATTTCTTTGCTGTTTACGGATATATCACGTTTTTCACCTGGAATTTTGTTTTTCGAAGTTTCCGCCATTCTACTTTTATGAATGCATAATAGGTATCACGAAATTTTAAGCTGAATACTGGATACCGTTCTTTAATTTCTGATACTCCTTTATTGAGGTCCACAACTCAACTAATTTTGGTGTACAGAACGGGGATAAAACTGGTTAAAGGTAATAATATAGCAACATTGATCCAATGATCCCACGACTGGGAGTTGTGGACCTCGATAAATACTCCTCAGTCACATCTGATCACTATCATTGAATGGTATATGCCTTTATGGGGGCCCTATATTTGAGATGCCAAATACTATGGTTCCTCACCCTTATCTACTTCACCTACACAAACACAATTTTGTAATCTCTGGCTAGCTACAGTTGCTGTGGGTAGGTATGTAGGTTGCAGGCCCATCCTGGCAAGGAGATATCCCAAGATGATGAGGGGGCGATTTCTGTGTAGGCCTACGGATGAATCTGGGGGATGGGTCGTGCCGCCTACATACCCCGGCAAAGCGTCAGCTGTTTGGAGAAAAGGGGTAGCTAGGGGGGGGGGTGCTTGGGTTGGGGGTCTCACAAGAGGTTGTAGCAAGACTTTTCTCTGTGTACCAAAGGGCCACGAATAGAAATATATTTTTTAAAAGATGGCAGAACAATCAATAGAGGATGTATATTTCAGAGGATTCCACATGAACCTTTGCTGCCATCTTTATATCGGTCTAAACCCTCTTGGATGAGAGGCAACTTAATTTTGATACTTAGACTTGTCTTATTGCTATTTGCTTCACCCAGGTAGAAACACAATAGAATCATTGAACGGCATTTTATTTTAAAGAATGGTACACTTTGGTTGTAACAAAAGAAGAGGGCATTCTTTCGCTATCGTTCTTAATGAATGGGTATTTGCATAAGCTATCAAAAACCAGAGTGGCAAAAATGATGTATCAATATTTGAATAGGCCACGTTAATACAAAAGGAAACAAATGTTACAGTTAAATAGTGCAGCGTAAGCTTAAATGAATAATGGATCATTAACCTTGCATAAGAGTGAGTGTGAATGCCACTCCCACGACTGTGACTGAGGGATCGAAATTCATACAAGCCCATGGCCTTCTAGCTGAAAGGAAGGTTGATAGAAGGACGATGAGACAACTAATATCAATATCAATAATCAATAATTAATGGCGTCTAATGATCTTACTTAAATGATAACAAATGGGTTCACTGTACCCAAGGCATTATTATTAATTTCTATTCAATTAATGTTACAGGGATCATTCCTGATCCTGACGCTAGAGATGCGTAGGTCGTAAATATACGTAGGTTACGGACATAATGGAGACGTATACGTTTGTGTTAAGAATAAAGGGTAATGAGCCTGAAGAGATAATAAGCAATTTCATTCTATGGAGGCAATACCTGTTCATCTTTTGATGATTTTTGCAGTATAATAATATGTTTTCCATGGGAAATAAGCATGGGATAGAACTGATATTCAACAAATCCCGTATAGATCCCGTATCAGCCAAAGTCCCGTATCAGATCCCTTATAGGATCGCGTATTAGAAATTTCTCTAGGGATTTATCTTGATTTTTCGCGCTCTATTTTAATACTTGTTTATAAAAGTTGATAATGTCATATGATAACTCAAATTGTATAATTGTATGACACCATCATTGGGTGATGACCGTGAAACTGGAAAATGAATTAGTTTCAGAAAAAAACACATAATGAAATAAATAGGTTATTGATGGCCATAATAGAAAATGATTTTTTTCCTTGAAAATATCGAATATCGGCTTCTGAAAATGTCAAATTGACACTTGAACTATCGCCCTCGGTCAATGAGACATTTTCCTTGGCCAACATCATATTTTCCCTCGGAGTAAATTTCATGTTCCATCCCTCCCATTAAATAACCTCTATTTACCACATTACTGGACGTATTTGAATTTATTTGTAAAACGTTGAATTTTCAATAGCTGATGGGATATGGATTTATTTTGAGAGATTCTATAAAAAAGCAGCAACTCATGAATGTGCTAAACACATTTACGGGATAAACAGATCGTCCCCTTGGTCAATGCCTTCCGCCGTTTATGCGGTCCCTCGTCTCACACATGTTTCTCTCGGGATAATCCGCGGAGACCAAAACCTTCCAGTGAGTCCATAACCTTATAAACGCAGAGGATGAAATAATACAATAACAAGTCAAGGATATAATTTATCATGATTTTTTAGTTTACAATTTTATTGTTTGTTAGTTTATTCCCAAACCGGTACACTGGGAAAGTAATGGGAGTTTAAGCATGCATATAAAATCGAAACGCCAACCTATACGTACACTCCTCTCCATAAGTTTGGCAACCTTAGCTCCTCCATTGAACTACGTGTTAAATCCTCTTTACGTTTGAATTTTTATTCACTTAACCTGAAATAACTTATAATACTGATGGAAACGTAACTTGATTTCATTTTCAATACCTTCAAATTTTTCCAATTTTTTCCTCGATTACAATACATCGAAAATTGATGATAAATTTGATGAATTTTTGAAAATCGTCATTCCCATGTAAACCAATGGGAAATGGTGGGTTCGGGGCAAATCAGAAATCAGGATATCTATTCAGTAAAAGATTCAGCAAAAAATATTTTTATATAGAAAATTGAATTGTCTAACTTTTTTGTACACTAAGTGTTTAGCTTACTTGATGAATACTAAAGTTACAGAGCTTCAAAGTCATTTTTGAAAATCATTTTTCGCCTCCTGTGTTATTTCAATGGGAGTTTTTTGAAAAATAATTTTGACTTTAAAGACGTATAACTTTGCTGATCCTGAAGAAAGGTATCAATTTTTTGTTAAATAGAGTTAGCAAATTCAATTGCCAACCTAACTTGTATTTTTGCAAGGACTCGGAGTGATGGATATTCTGTCATATGACTTGCGGCAAACCTACCATTTCCATCATCAATTTTTGATCTATTGTAATTGAGGAAAAAAATTGAGAAAATTTGGAGGTATTGGAAATAAGGTCAAATTACGTTTCAATCAATAGTATAAGTATTTTCATCGCAGGTTAAGTAAATAAAAATTCAAAAGTAAAGAGACTTTAACACGTAGTTCAATGGGGGAGCTAAGGTTTATGGAGGGGAGTGTATGACCAAGCACCCATACAAATGCATCGCTTAAATTTCACGTTTAAGTGAAAAACAGTGCCTGCTTAAACTCCCTAATATTACGTATTCGTTCCGACAATAGATCGTCGTCTTCATTTTGATTACTCATCAAATGAGGCCCATGGTTAGAGTTATGCATATGAGGCCACGGATGATTGAAATATGCAACAAGAATCGGATAAATATCAAGAATATTACATCATTTCATGCACTTCTTATTTCCCCCAAATTTTACTGTCGCCATTTTTTACGTCCATCATTTGGCTTAAGTAACCATGTGATTGGTGATAGTCCTGGTTCGGGTTGGCATTTACATGTACCAGGCGTATATTCTTTAAAGGAGTATAAACTTTGATGTGGTGTTATATCCTGCCATCACATCTGGAACATCGTGAGGGAGACACTTCTGGTATTCCACCATATCAGTCCTTATTATTCATAGTACATCCCGTAACATATTGCAATGGCGACTATGTCCTTACTAGCGAATGTCGCAGTTGCACTGTTATCTGTATCAATGTTCCACACTGCCCTACTAGCACATTCCATGTTTTGTCCTTGATTCTCGCCGATAATAACATTACACACGATTTTGTACCTGTCCAATTTTAATGCTTTCACCTTTTGTTTAATATCTTCGGAGAGAAATTGGGAGAGTTGAGAACATCGCCCGTGGTCATATTTCTCCAGCTTTTCCAAGTTCTGTTTTAGTGAACATTCCATAATTTCTTGTATACATTTTGAGCGAAATTTACAATCGGGTTCCATTTTATATGTTGGCTCCTTATGTCGGATCTCTTGTTTGGACGTTTCGCCATCCGAAACACTTACATTTGACATCTTCCCGCGTCGCCATCGTTTCAGTTTACGCTTCATCAACAGCATGCTGGTCAAACTCCCAGACCTCCCAGATGCTTGACTGGTGGTTTCAGACTTTATTAATAAAGACTTCTTCGATGGCGTGTTAACAAGTTGCGGCGCCTTTTCAGTAGGGTTGATCGCCCGATTGTGACTATCCAGGACGTCTTTGCTCAAATGCGGACTGGACACCCTCTCGACCGGAAGATTTGTGCGTATCTCTGTCATAATCCCTATCGCTTGATGAGCTATATCAAGTAGCTGCTTGAGATCGATATCTTGAGATGGTCTGCGATATTAAATGTCTTAACAAGTAGTCCAGTATGTAAACTTCACAGCAAATATCAATCGAACTATATCATTAAACTCTATATTCCAACATCAAACAATAACAATTGACATAACAATTGACACTATCGATAGAAAATAATGAAAGTGATATGATGAAATGTCTGCCAAGCTCAAACATTCATCCGTTTCACCTTGTAACGATTGTCCACTCGATGTCTTGTTAGAAACACTTGCCGTCTATTTCCATTTATGATATGCACATGCACCTTCTCCCTTATTTGCTCAGCAATCGATTCCGGATAGAATTCCAAAATATTCCTGTCCAAGAGACTCAGCAAGGGATCCTTGATAGAGACAATGTTAGTTGTTATAAACTTTAAGAACCAGTTCAAGAAGTCGTTCAACAATAAATATACTGAAAACTTTATTTACTGACACACTTCAATCCTGAATCCGAATGTGTCCAATACCAATGTCGTGTCTTGGGCAGCTCCGTTACCTGGCAATACGACTAACATTATTTATTCAAGAAGTTTTAGGATTACTTTCCCAATTTCTTATTAACAATTGGTTTTCTACGATGTTGATATTTTAGATTATTCCTTATATGCTTAATTCTTCCATGGGCTCATTTAAATTACCCCTGGTTCCGATAAATCTTTTTTCTCCTTTACCCGTTGATATTTAGCCAAAGATTGTTACCTTAAGAGATCTGTAGTTTGTTTGAATAGTATTGGGTTTATTAAGGTAGATTTCACAATGGTTGATAATAACAATCGTTGACAATGGTTCACAATTCAATTACATCCAAACCTCAGCAATTACCCATAAACCTTACCTGCCAAACCAAACCAAAGAAATTACGAGCGTTTTTTTAAATCTGGTAATATTTCCAGCAGATTAAGGCATTTACATGACAAAATGTCGGCACTCAGCACATGATGACAAATACTGTTAGAGACTGAAAACGTAACCAAGTCCCTTCGTTACCATGGTAACCGACGTTGCCTAAATTCTGGTGTTGTCTAACGTGATTCTACGTTATGTCACAACGTCTTTTTGGTGACTAAGACGATAAGTTGATAGGTCTGGGTAATAGTTTGACATATTGAAAATATCGATTGGAGTGATCTTTAGCTGAATAAATAATCCATGTCACTATGTACTCCCAGCAGAACAATGGGACATTCAGAAGTCAAAATAATAAATAATGAGAACTGTTGAAAAAGCAAACATTTCCCCGTTGTTCAGTTAACTAATCTATTTAGACTGTTTAAACAGTCTTATAGTATTTTTCAATTTATTCCCATGTTTGTGTTCAATTGTAAAACATCTTCTCTGTTTAGTGACGGCTAAGTGTGTCAAATCAATAAACTCCAAGCAACTACTGAAATAATTTTCTAACTATTGACATTGGTCATGTATATAACTATTTTGAAAGGAAGGGTATGGCAAGAGAACACAACTACAAATATATCACATTCCTAAAATGCGATTCCCCACAGGTACACACCCTCAAAGAACACCTCATAGCCGCACATGCGCATTTGGCCCATTCGTATATGGGATGTTTCTAACCCTGGAAGAGTACAATTAATCACTAGGTGATATCGTTCAAAGGTCCGTAAACATTAAACAAGAAATTGTGAATCTATAGCTCTATGTACAAAATTACAAAGTACTAAAAGTTTTCTCATTTATAACAGTGTATAACTGTTCCACATTAGACAGGTCAAACATTCTAACGATGTAGCAATGATGATTGTAGCTGACAATGTCAACAATACAATTGATTATCCTGTTTGAATTAGATTTATACAACATACAATTGAAGCCCATTAAGGCATAGATAAACATATAAAGACATATATGATTAATTCATATAGTTTCTGAATTTTATAAATTATGGTCAGAGTTTTCAAATAAAAAAAGAATTGATTCATTTGACAATACTGTATTTCAGAAAAGGTGTAATTCATAGTTTTAAAAGTAACTGGAATTTACAAATTAATTAGATTTGTGGATTTTAAGATTTCTAAAAAAACATTCATAAAACTTATCATTATATTTCATGAATTTAAAGTCCATGGTTCTTTCATCCTTTATTGGCATTAATTATTTCAAAAAGTGAAAACAAAGGACATCACCCTTTGGGTTAGAAGTCGCAAAACACTTGACATTGACCCAGTTGAAACATTTATGAATGGCAGTATTACAACTTTCATAGATTTCTTTGAAATTCAGTTTTTTGAATCAACATGATTAGGGTGTACCGTCTACCTTAATCAAATACAAATGCTTTTGTAACATTGTTTACTGCAACTACGGAGAAAATGTAACTCATGCCTTCGGTGCACCTTTATTGGTTTCTTTCGTAAGCCTTGAAATATCGTTTTACTATTTGTTTTCTGTTCTATTAGTCATTTCACAAGATTATAAATAAAATGAAAATGTGTATTTCGTGTTTTATACAATATATTGATAAGGTAACAATTGTTTATATAAGCCTTCGAGCATCATGAGGAAAACAATACAAAACCAGCCAGAGTCGCTGTATCAAACTCACAATGGTTGCTAGACAACTGAAATACCATAAGAAGACACTATAAATTACTTTGCATTTGTTTTTAGTCCAAACAAATTCCATAAAACATAAAATGTAGTTTGTACATTAAATGTTGTTTAATTTTAAAATAAAAACTGGAACATTGTCATAAGAAAGCTCTTGAAAAATTACAGTCTGTGTCATATAATCACATCATTCTTTAAGTGTATTTTAAATCCTTCATCCCGAACCAGTACTTAGGCCAGCACATAATCATTGCGCCGACAATACTCAAATTTCTATGGTATTTTTACACAAAATGCATGGTCAATTACATCATCGATCATATCATCAACAGTATATTGTTGAACTTTAAATTAGAGCTTCCACATTGCCATAGCTACAGACACCATTGCCATGACAACCATAAAATTGTACGTTAATCCATACGAGCTGTTACAGAGATCAGTAGAGCAGCATTTGGTGGCAGTTTTCACCCCCAAAATATCTAAGTTAGCATCAGAACAACTACTGGAGCATGAGCGAGTAGCAGTAGATGCAAGTCCCAGAGTATTGGAGGATTCTTTCTGAAATACAAATTGTTTAACAATTCAACAAATGGTAAAGTGATGGAGAGGGGTCTACTTTACTTGAGTCTCTAGCTAATTACTTGTAGCTATACAGAGACAGCGTTGGAAGAAGGTAAGGCCTACTGAGATAAAACATAATAGGCCTCCAATACAGTGTGAGAAATAAGAAATATCTGAGATTTTGACAGCCCCCTCTGGTATTAATAATGCTGTAATGCATTAAGATACCTCGGAGTAGGGCTGCCATCGAACTCAAATGTCAGTGTCGACAGTCGAACTCTGCTGTCGAAAATATTGTCGACAATCGAACTTTCCAGGGAGAAAAAATCATCGGGAAGTAATTGCCTAATATTGTTACTAAATGCCAAGTTAATAGAATATTATAGACGAAAATGGGACAAATACCTGCAATGTTTCGACCGGGATTTATTTCGACTGCTCGGGCGAAATCTCGTACAACGTCTCGCAAGAGAGAAGAGAAGTCATGAAGGGAACTTCCGGGTGAATTTATTTTTTGAAAATGAAATGAATGTGAACAATATTTCCGCAGAATACGCGCACATAACACGTTGAAATGTGTATTGAAATGTATTGGGGCCATTTGGATATTTTCAAGTAAGTATTGATATCGTTTGCTGTCGACATGACGGGAATTTTTGTCGACTTCGTTGTCGAACTTGCATTTTGACTGACAAGTCGACGTTCCGACTAATGATGGCAGCCCTACCTCGGAGTATTATATTTTACAAGTACTAGCTAAAATGACGCATTTCTCTATTGTTGCCCAATTCATTGGTTACAAAAACTGCCACTTTCTATTCTGTGAATGAAAAAGCAATGCAATGAGTCAAATGCAAATATCCAGGAGCGAGAATAAAAATTAATTTCTTTTGTACAGATACTCGAAGATTTTGAATAGATACTCGTAAAAATTATCCTTATTTGTATTTCTCATAAAATATCTAATACCTTACTTCTTTATGATTTAATGGTATATTGATGAATTTCTGTACCCAATTACGTTAAAAGCTTTCACTGACATATCCATGTAAAAATATGCAAATGTACAATAAAACCTGTATTTATGAGCACTTTTCTAAAGTGAACACCTCCAAATATGAACACTTTGTCTCATTTTTAGGATATCCCATTGACTCCCATGTTATCTTAAAATAGCAGGTATTTTGAGAACACTTTCCCTTGAACCCCATTGACTCCCATGTTATCTTAAAATAGCAGGTATTATGAGAACACTTTCCCTCGATCCTAACAGTGTTTACATTCGTGAAGTTTTACTGTATATATTTTGTATTGCTTCTGACCTTGCAAACTTCCCCTGAGGCACATGTCTTTGTAGGAATTCCATCAGCCTTGAATTGATCATTGCAGTTTACAGTGCTGGTCCACCCAACAGCATTGGTCCCAGAACACTCATAACATTGTAGAGACAAACAAGAACCTGGAAAGTGACACACACAAGTTGGTTGTTAATGATAAACAATTGTTATTTAAAATCACTGCCAACTTATATACAACTTCTGGTCTGACATCAATAATTTATGTTTAGCATAATAATCACTGAAAACTAAGTAGCCTGAGAAGGTTTGATATTGTATCAGCTCATATTGTGCGTGCAAATTCAAATGTCATACCTTATTGTACAATACGCCATCTATTTAAGCAAGATTGCAATATTTCAAGTTTTGTCATTGTTAGATTTTGCTGAGTCTGTACAGAAGACAATTGAAGTGACCATATTTCATATTAAAGCATCGAAGTCATTTAGTTGCAAGTATTTCTACTGGTATCCAAAGTAATTAATGTGATATTTATTAAATATCACATTAATTACTGTGAATATTATTTAAGAGGTGCGAAGTGGGTTTTTTCAAATCTACCCATAGTTTTACACACAATTTTGCTTTGTGAAATAAATGTTTACTCAGGTTAAACAATATTCTTTATACACCATAGAATTGGTTAAACGCAATAACGTCATATTACAAATAAAACACAATAGCCTACAATGACAGTGTAAATTCAAAAAATGTGTACCTGTATTATACACAATCAAATCATTCTAGAGAACGTATTCATGGTTGATTTCTAAATGTATTACATGTGTTATATTTTGTGAAAGTCCTATTTCTGTTTCCATTTGACGTAGCCTAACCATCGAGATTCTTTCCACACATCAATATAATTTAATGATTTAAAAATGGGTGAATGTAAAATTACTTCAGTGTCTTTCCACTGAAAGTGTTTGAAAAGAAGTACCTGTGATTTTTCTAAATGATAGAAAAATTATATTGTACAATAACTTGCATAATATGCTACAAATATTTATACAAACTCACCTAATACTCCAAGGAATATACATCCAAATACCAATGCTCTTGCGGCAGACATTTTGAGGGTGTTTTACTATGGTACGTTTATCAAAGTTATTCCAAAAACAATCTCAAACTACAAAATCCTGGTTGTATAGCAAGGATTTGTTGATCTAAACAAATAAAAATAGTCACATTAAAACAAGCATATTTATCCAATTATTCCACTAAATACGTGGATTATTAATGATGGTGTTGACATAAAGTTCGTATCCTAAGAAAATAAGTAAAGAATAAATAACTGGTGTATTGAAAGTTGATACTATTCAGCTATCATTGAATAAATAATGAAAGGGGTAGTAAAGAGAGTAGAAGGGATATAGACAAGGTGAACTAGTTTCGCAAAAATTGTCACTTTCCATGTCATGCCATTTTCTAAAAAGTCAAACAGTTCTGACATTATTTCAAGATAATCCTTCGATTCTATTTAGCTTATTTGGCAAATGATTTAAAAAGTGGATGTTCACTCTTTTCATTTTTGATGAATTCAGACATTTCTTAAAACAATTGAGCGTATATCTCGATTCTTTTTTTCAGAGAAAATGAACTACAAGGATTGTAAAGGGATACAATATTGGCATGATTTTTAAAGACATTCCAACATTCTACTTTCTGTATTTATTTCTTCTAATTTTAAAGAAGACATATTCTGATGTCACATGGACATAATGGGTTGAACTTATATATCAGACCAGATTCTAAAGAATACCAAAGGGGAGGGGGCTAGGAAAAAAATTGGGCTCAAAACCAAAAAAGTTTGGACCAAAAAAGGCCTTTAAGCCCAAAAAGTGGGCTTTTTGATCATTATTGGGCCTTATTTTTTAATTTCAGGCCAAATTTTGAAGAAAATTGGCCTCGAAATGTCAAAATATAGTGTTTTAGCGGCCCAAAATGTTATGATTGATTTCATCAAAATTCTTTCAAAAACACGAGAAAACAACACCAATAGTTTCTCCATTATGGATCAAAACAGAGAAAACCATTTTTTGTAACTAAGACTTCATTGTATTCACAACTTGACAATTCTCTGTAAAACATCAATCTACATCATAACTACCGACTCTTGTATCAAATCTTGGTATTCCATCTTGGGTTCCTAGTTCAGTGAATAAAAATTGTAACCATAGAAGGAAGAAGGATACAATGAACTAAAGATCATTACAGTATACAATTGTTGACCTCTCCAGAGGTCAACCGGCAAAAGTGTATACCGAGACTGTAAACCGAGAAACTACTGTTGACAGAGACCGAAGGTCGAGGTCAACAGTAGTTTCAAGGTATACAGTCGAGGTATATGATTTTGACGGTTGACTGAATGGAGAGGTCTACAATTGTTTTGTTAGTCAGAAGGAACTAATCGACAGTCATCAATCATGGCTTCATTTCACAATCTTTTCTCCGAACCACGCCAGCAATATTTTTTTAAGAAAATCTTAAGACAGTATAAACGCTCTGTTTTTGGCACATAACTGCGTACTCACTAGTAAATCAATGTTAATTTTTCGTTTCTTTTTGTATTTTTGCTATACTTGTCTTCTAGCAAAGTTAAAATACCACTTTCATCAACGTTTACGAAATGTCCGTCTACCATGTTTTTTTCTGTAAACATTATGACGTCATATTCCCCATAATTCACAAGTGTAGTACAGTAACATAAGCGGTCAATAATATGATATCCCATGATGCACAGGTGAAGTACAGGCAAAAATGTTGACCGCTAATTGACCAATCAGATGCGAGTATTTACACTGAGGTACTAACAAAAGTGATTATAAAGCAGCTGTGTGCCATCAAGATAAACCATGACATCTCATTTTTTCTCAGCCCTGAGCCCATGTTTCAGGTGAAACAGAAAGATGCTATGAGCATCAAAATGGCTCTGTGCAAACTGGTAAATGCATTCAATGAAGTGATCAATCAACTGTGACAGCTTTGGAGGCATAATCTTTCCTCGCACAATGAAGGCTCTAACCCCCCCAGTGTTTTGTTCTATTGACACAACACAATAAATTTCAATCTACTTTTTTTAGCTGCCCATACAGAGAATACATCATAAGCATTGGTTAATTGGATCAAATAAAGTCCAGGGAGTTTTATGGTGGAAGAGCTCATAATAGAGCATTTGATAATCATTTGTTATTCAACACTTACATCTTACATCATCTTACATCTATCTTAGGGGAAGAAGGTTGGATCCTGTATAATCCCCATCTTTTTATCGGTCATTGTTTGTATTTGTTACTTGTTGTGCGATGCGCCAAATAAATAGTTCAGAAGTTGTATTGTTCATTTCTGAATATATTGTCAATCTGGTTTTTGAAGCTATTGACATCTTTGGCACTAATAGCAGATTCGGGTAGTTTGTTCCAGTTATTTGCAACACGCTGGGTAAAAGACATCCTTCTAACTTCTGTTCTATTAAATCTAATCTGCACTTTTTGACTATGCCCTCTGGTGTTCCTAAGTTTGGGTTTCTGACAGTTGATGTAAATTCTTATGACACATTCTCTGTACTGAAGCTATCTCCCAAGTACCTCATTTAACGTCAGATAACTAGAGTTTATTTTATTGCTGATGGACATGATGGATAGTCTACAAAGCAGTGAATGCAATACAGTTTAATGATTGTACGAGGCATTCAACCTTGCCCACCCCCCACCAATCCCACTCTGTGAGAGTTTATCGAAGGGGAGGGGCTATTCAAGATTTAATTTATCTCTAGGAGGCAATAATATAAACTTCAAAGGTGTTTAATTTGTTATATCTTTGTGCGTGGATTATGGTCATTTGGTACACACGCTTTGGCTGATGGAATGTTTTGCAAATTCATTTAGAAAACTTTTAAATAAGTGTAATAAAAAACATCTAGCCTATTCTACAGTTCATATAAGCTTTGAAGCTACCAAAATTATTCATTCTAGACCTCTCTATGCATGGGCAGATACGCCAGGAATCTCCTTGATGTAGGTGTGATATTTGAGATAGCATGGGCCATATATTTCAATTCCAGTCTAGGCTCGATAGGACATAGTGCATTCTACCACCATTTAATTGTATTCTGATCCATTCTGACCTTTGACTTTCTTACAATAAAAGCCCTGAAACATCCATGTTTGCAAATAAAAGATGTGATGAGTGCCCAAATACGAGTACATATCCAAATACGAGTACATCTAATCTATTCATTCTATTTTTGTCACTTGTATTTTAATGCACTGTCAGTCAGTCATAATATATACATACATAGTGCATTATTTATATATTTCTAATATTTGTTTACTTTGTTAGTCTATATATGTACTATTCTCTAGTATTGCACAGTTCAAGTCATATAATACATTCATGTATCATTGAATAGAGCATGGTTGATTGATTGATCCAAACAAATTTATCCCAAGTTATGAGAATAATTTCAGCAATAGGCTAGGCCCCTGTATCAATTCAAATATATTTGGATCAAGTCAGATATTCAACATTTGGGGAAACATCGCGCTTGCAGCATGCATAAATAAACTGAAAATTAATTCAAGGTCAAATAAAATTTCCCGAAATCAGTTCATCAACTTGGTATAAATTCTGGTTTGATTAAATCTGATATCACAACTAGTTTGACATACTCCATATTAATTGAACTAGTTCACATGAATCATTAGTCTGTGAAGAGTAAATCTTCATCATATTGATCATCCAGCAGATTGCCCCCATCTACGTCAACTCCCTGGAGTCTCAGCGCCTCTTTCCTGGCCTCATTAGCCGCTCTATCCTTTCCCTTCTTGTTTTGTACCTTCTTAAGCCTGCAAATACAGATACACGAAATAATTAGCTAGCATTTTTGGTTTCACCTGTCTTCAGAAGTAGCTGTCTAATGTAAGTCAAACACATACTAAGCTTGGAGGAAATGTAGAATGTCATTCGACTTTTTGGTGATTTTGAAGTCATTGGCTGCACTTCTCTGTTCAAAATCAAATTCTGTATTAATTTGGCACCACATCACTAAACTTTTATTGTTTCTCAAAAATACTCTCTAATTCTAATAATCTCAGAAAATTAGGGTGATGAGCAGGGAAATTCACTAGGTCAAGATTAACATATCCATCTGATGGGTTTAAATTTGAGCCAAGGTTATCAGTATTTGGTTGTTTGTCTAAGCACTTTGAACTCATGAATATATTTATAACAAGTCCATCAATCACAATTTGCACTAAAACAGCTCAATTAATGAATTTAGAAAAATTACCTAAAGAACTCTTCTCTCTCTCTTTCATCTAACTCAGTGGAAATGTAGGCGAGTGTATTCTCTATACGGGGAATGATCACTGAAATATAGAGTACATGTATACTATGTAAGTGAATTTCTCTAGTAGCGTATAGAACTCAAAGGGTTAACATAAAAATTGTGCACTGTATATGCTCATTATTGGATTTACTTCATCAAAAGACTTTTACTTGATATACTGATGTTTGAGCATACAGTCATGATGAAGGCTTTTTTTCTATTCTGAGTCCCGATTTCAAAATGATCTTTTGCAGTGTTATTTGACAAAGTTGTCAATGCCAACATTTTAGGAACAAACCAATCAGCACTAACCATGCTCAATAGCGTTAACTCTCCTATTGGTTATCTTAATGACTTCATCCAATGTAATAAAGGATGTTTGCAGGGAGGCAAGGTCCACCAATAACTCCACAGCTTTGCTATAGTTCTTCTTTAGTTTGCCTAACTGTTGACCACCACGGGATAGCCCAGTTAGTTCATACGCTGAAAAACAACAGAATTTAAATGTAAATGGTGGTTTAGCGCCAAGTTTCTTGATACACAACACCCAGTTTTAGCATGTTATGGGTTTGGCTCAATAGAACAAGGCCTCGTGGTAAAACAAGCACTTGTTCCACCATAAATTGGACAAAATGAGTAACCTAGAGAAGGAAGCAATTCTGCAAGAAAATTCGTTAAATCTGCAAGATGCACGGTATGGTAAAATCTGTTAGATGCTCTATGATTTTTTTCAAGTAATACATTTCTAAGGTATGTGATCTATTTAAAATGCGCAATATAACCAGTGTGCAATAATAATGTAACTTACTGTCTGTCCCATCTGTATAGTGTTCAAATATTGGTAGTTGGACACCTGAAATAATTTCAACCAATATATAGAGCCTTGTATACTACAGACTGTACTTGTATTCTTGGAGTCAATTGTTATCCAAAGTAGTTATTAACATTGTGAAGATTTTGGGGAGGAGAAACATTTATTTAAAGTAGATGTGGTTTATTGTAATTCAGGGTCTTGCCAGAACTTAATTAGGTTGTCGTAAAAGACATACAGTAGTATTGTGCATTGTACATCAAATCAACCATAGAGAACATAGAGCTCAGATAAAATCTTTTAGAATGTCAACATGAAAATGAATAGTGTGACATAAAACTGAACATGAACCTTAGTCTACCATAGGTAAACAACCAAGAAATGTATAGATTGATAAATCCTTCATTCATTTGAAGATGATAACTCACATTTTTATTTTGAACAATACCCAAATTTCTTACCAGCTACATTGTCCTTTTTAAAGCGAACTTTTGTCTGAGCCTTGCTGACATTTTGCAGAACCATGTGGTTTATTTCACCCGAAGCAAACTTTGCCTCAGCCAATGAAAATGCTGCCTCTTTCATGACATCACCCATCAACATTTTAGTCTAGAATATTTGATAATACATAGTAAATTACCATTTCATGCAGCAAAATACATTAAATCAAAAAACCTAAAGAAGACTATGGGATATATGAATGGGATCTTAAACCAAGAGGTGCAAAATGCAATGATGAATTATTTGAAATTAAAATCAATTCACCTCAATGATTTTCTTGAGGATCTGTCTAAACCTGAGAGTTAAAGCATCTGCCTTCTTCTTCAATAAACTGTGACCTTTTTGTGCACCTTTCAACTTCCCCTTCATGGTCGTCAAGGCCCTGAAAACAGTATGTAAATACATGTACACTACTATATGATTGGAAACAAAAAATATTTTGAAAAGAAGGATGTGCCAAAGCAATACATTGTGCAATACAAGCTTAGACTTGTAGAAGATGATATTGACTCTCAATAAAATCCTCTGCTCTGTGACCTTACATATAAGCTAAAGGGTTGTCCCAAATGATACTTTTTGAAAAAGTCTGAACTCCCTAGGTGAGAAACAGTGATCCTTTATTTATAAAAAGCCATTTAATGAAGATATGTCTGTTCATCTATGAATCCTGGGGTATAGTCCCCTCAAAAATTGTATGTCATATCTAAGAAAATCAAAACCAAATATAATGAATGCATTATCAATCATAGTCAGTATATGTTTTTTATTCACCAATTATTAGAGGTGTCACACTGACCCGAAGTCAACCCGAATCTAAGGTCGGGTCACAAACAACTACACCAATTATGGGTCGGGTCAGAACAATCGGGAATATAGTTATCGTAAAATTCTTTATATTTCCCAAAAAATTTCAAACGTTTGGCTTGCATATTTCTTGAATGTGAATAAATTATAAGTGGGGAATAGTTAACAGTTTTTCCCGAATGATTTAATGCTAAGTTTCTATCATTTCCCTTTGCTAAAGTATAATATGCAATAATGCAAGCAGCAAGTCAAATTCATTGCCACTCGACTTAATTTCTAATACACGTCCTTGGGCCAATGGACTCTACCACAGGCTTGCAAGAGGGGCTTTACACCAGAGCCTTAGATTACTCTACCGAGCTGACAGAAGTCATTCTGTGTTCAGTAAGCCTTGGAAGAAGGTCCCCAACAGTTGAAAAAAGTGAGTCTCATCTCTGGTAGTCCAACAACATTAGACCTAGCCTGGGCCTCGTTTCTTATCTGACATGTCTTATGGCCCCGGCTAGGTCTAACTTCCATGATGATTTTGCCCTTGATGCGATCATTTAATCGTTCAGCAGGTTTCGACATGCGGAACTAATTAAACCGTAATAAGATGGTATCGTTACAGAAATAATGTGATCAACGCATGCATACATACCTTATGAATAAATACAAATCATCACATACCCCCCTGTAACCTCATCGATGTATAATTATGAAAATGTTGGGAGAAGGCTTTTTCTTAGTTTAGAAAACTCTGTTCTGGTTCCGGTAACATCGAAATGGCAAATCCTTTCAGGAATAAACCGCCGTTAGCAACACTGAACGAAACAAGTTCATAAAACGAAAAAAAACCCGGTTATCCTATATATAAGTACAAAATATTGTAATACTGTAGGAGGCTTGCGATAAACATGATTAAGTTTCCTACTTTTTTTCCTGTTTTATTTTCAGAATTATGGTCAATTTCTGGCTAAAATGCTAAAGATGATATACGTCCATGGACAGACGCAAGCATGTGATACTGAATAATTAGATATTTTTCTTAACATGTTTAAATATATATTGTGCCAAAGTTTTCTCTCCCAGAAAGTCAGTGATTTCCCATTGTAATAACTCAGATGCGAGGAGGTAGTTACCAGTTTCACCACCAGGTGGCTCATTCAGGTCACATAGCATGACATAGTTATGCAAATTAAAATAATGTAAAAGAAAATATTATCTGTCCAATACAAGAAAACATATTTCACTTTTTGTGACTTTATATGTTGAATCTCCCCGTAGTAGCATTTACATTTTCCAAAACAAAAATTTTTCAAAATTGATCAACAATATTTGAAGCAATATTTCTTGATGTACTTTTACATGTACATTTCAAATACTAGATAGTATGACATCATTTTGACTGAATGTTTAATGACGATCAAGTAAGGTTTTTTAACATTAGAGTAATGAGATCGAAAAAAGCTGAAAAGTGTTGATTTGAAAAAAAATCAGATTTGGAGGTATCGAGATAAATCAGGTGTGAAGTATAGGTTAAAAGTACATTTACTTGCTCCAATATCGTGATAAAACACATGTGTTTAACTTTTCTCTCATTGAGTAAATGAAATATCATTGTAGAAAAATATGTTTTATAAAATAGCATAAACAAAACTTCTGTTTAATTTTATTAAGAACATCATACATTTAAGAGCTAGGAATAAAACAACCATGCTTATACATCAGTGTTCTCCCCCAAAAAAATTTTCAACTGGGTGCAAGATTTCAAGTCTAAAAAAATCAGCACTCGCTACGCTCACAATATCTCAGTGTAGGTGCTTACTTCACTCATTCTTTAAATCAGAAGTTGAAGTGCAGATGCCAACTGGGTGCCAACTGGGGGGCCTTTGGTTTCAAGTAGGGGGAGCCCCCGGTAAAAGTGACATGGGGAGATCACTGTACATGTAATCTTATCACAATACATCACCACATTGAAGTTATTAAAATGTAACAATTGTTACAAAGCATGTATGCTGAGTAAAATACATGATCCCAGTTATAAACAATTGAGTGTATTCCTAGGTATGTTTTTGCAAGCAGAAAACCATGAACAATTACCATAATTTAATATTTAGGCACAATTATTCAACACAATCACAATCTAGCACAATCAATGACATCTATATTTCTTTGAGCTGAAATTACCAGTAATCAAATGCATCAATAATGTTGCTTTTTAAAGTTTTTATAAATAACAATAGAGTAAACTTGGGTGAATACACGCGCTGTTTGAATAAAGACAATCTTCGTGTCATAGTACTGGATGGTTATAATAAATATCAATATTGAAGAACAATTTCGTTTCGCTGACCAAGTTTACTTTGGCGACGCACAGACAGACATTGCCGGTATAAATATTCGTCTCATAAATTGGTAAGAATAAGACTCATTTTACGATTAAAAATGAACATTTAACACAATAATATTATGTGAAATCGCCTGATGAAATGTGGTTTTATATTATTGTTAAGTATCAGTGTCATATTAGCGAGGAAAAGTGGTTTCGATAGATCCACAACTTGCATCAAAGGAAAGAATAGCATGGAGGTTAAACTCAATAATGGCCCCAAGAAAATTCCTAATAATAAAGAACGCCGTTATTGAGTTTAACGACGTTGAACTACATCTCTGGTTGTATCTGCTTGCAAATTGACGTTAATGTTTAATTTTTTAATACATGTCGTATTATACATATTAATAGTTTTTGATATAGCCGTCAGGGGCGGGGCATAGTGAGCTAAAAATGTTAATAAAAATAATTTTTAATAATTATTTTGACAAGTTTTCTAGACTGTATCCTATTTAGTCTGAATTATATTCAGACTATAAGGCACCTATGTTAAACTTTGGTAATCCAAAGTATTTGTTTACATAGGAAGTGCTATTCAAAATGGCCGATTGGGTAAAATTAATTTGCACATCTGTTACTTCAACTAGCTTTATTTCCACTTGACAATGTGCTGTCTTACTTTTTATTGCATTTAATTGTACCTTATTATTTAATTGACATTTTGTAATGTTTATTTTATTGAATAAATGGTTCCTCTAATTGATAATTTTGTGCAAAAAGTTTCACTGCAATTTCCACAGGAAAGTAGTACATCATAACAGACTGACTTCTAGTCAGTCTGTTGGATACATACTACAAGTTTTCTATAATTGGGCGATAATAGGGATGTGGGTGTGAAAACAAACTTTGATCGCAGTTTTGACTATCACCCCTTAAAATATAAACATCTATTTTATGATTAGAGTTGAGAGAAATATTTCAATTCACATATATAAGCTTTCAAAATATAAACAGAAAGCTGCAATACTTACATTCGAGAAGGAAAGATAGCAATTCTGTCGGAAGCCATTTCTAAATATTATTTTTATTGCGCATGCGCAAATTCAATCACGAGCTACAAACCCGGATGTAGGTCAAAACAAATTAGTGAAAAGTTCAAGCAAGAAATTATTTTACGTGTAATATCTTTTGCATTGGATCGTGGATTAACACAACCAGTTGTTAATTATCTCGTACAAAATACCAAAATGTCTTTGGGAGCCTCAGAGATATGGATTATGTCGTCGAAGGGAGAGATTTTGATTCGCAAAAATTGTATCCTCTTTTCATAAAATTTGCTGGCAGGTCTACTTTCTCTTTCATTTATATATCCAATACAATTGTTTACTATATTTGCACATAGCCATCTTTAGATGAGATAGCTTTGTGCAAACTAAGTAAACAATTGTGTTGTATTTATTGTCAAGTGCTTTCAATTAGTGCACTTGTTGATCATTCCAATGAATTTCCTTAATAATTTGACAGACAGATTTGATGTTGAACAATCTGCACTGAAAATCTTTGTTGGGAAACTTCAGAGTGGAATTGGAAGGCCCCCTCCTCATATGGTAAGAAAATTAAAAGTTTGTTCTGTCATGCTATAGATGGCAAACTTACTAGCTGAATAATGAGACTAAATATATGTGACTTACTGATTTAGTAACTATATACATGTAATATGTAGAAATGTATCTCCGTTATATAAAGGGCAATAAATAAATGTATAATATACATAACTAACGAGTATATGACTAACTTTAGTAACTTCAAGCTTATTTATTTATTTAGGAAAAGTTATATACAAAAAGAATACATGAGAAATAGTGACACCAAAAGGCATATAAAAGTATAACATCAAGTATTAAAGAGTGTAATTAATAGAAAATCCCTAAGTTAGAAATCACTGAGTAACTTACTTATTTGGTTGCTTGGTTACGTGTTCTTACATATTTACTTATTAAAAGAAAAATCTTTAAGGCCTCTACAAGATTGGTAGCTATATTGATGTCAATATTTCATATCAGCAAAATATTGAAAAAGATAACTAGCAGTACCAAGCTGCAATAATATCTAATGTTCCTAAGATATATAAGATTTTTTTTAAAAATAATTTATTTCATAAATAAAGTTTATGGTAAGTTATACATGTTATACCGCCTAGGTTTGAACATAAACAGTGTTGGCAGTAGAAATATATAATATGTTCTGTACCTAAGATGTTCTGTTCATATACAGTGAAGCTTATAGTACATTTAACATAATATTGTCTTGTGATTAGGAGGTTGGGAAGGTGCATTACTACAACATCAAAAGAAGTGACTTATTCTTTGTACTGGTCTGCAAACAACATGTCATACCTGTCCATGCAATAGAGGTTCTATCCAGGTAAATAACATGTCATACCTGTCCATGCAATAGAGGTTCTATCAAGGTAAATAACATGTCATACCTGTCCATGCAATAGAGGTTCTATCCAGGTCAATAACATGTCATACCTGTCCATGCAATAGAGGTTCTATCCAGGTAAATAACATGTCATACCTGTCCATGCAATAGAGGTTCTATCAAGGTAAATAACATGTCATACCTGTCCATGCAATAGAGGTTCTATCAAGGTAAATAACATGTCATACCTGTCTATGCAATAGAGGTTCTATCCAGGTAAATAACATGTCATACCTGTCCATGCAATAGAGGTTCTATCCAGGTAAATAACATGTCATACCTGTCCATGCAATAGAGGTTCTATTCAGGTAAATAACATGTCATACCTGTTCATCCAAAGAGGTTCTATCCAGGTCAATAACATGTCATACCTGTCCATGCAATAGAGGTCATATCCAGGTAAATAACATGTCATACCTGTCCATGCAATAGAGGTTCTATTCAGGTAAATAACATGTCATACCTGTCCATGCAATAGAGGTTCTATCCAGGTAAATAACATGTCATACCTGTCCATGCAATAGAGGTTCTATCCAGGTAAATAACATGTCATACCTGTCCATGCAATAGAGGTTCTATCCAGGTCAATAACATGTCATACCTGTCCATGCAATAGAGGTTCTATCCAGGTAAATAACATGTCATACCTGTCCATGCAATAGAGGTTCTATTCAGGTAAATAACATGCCATACCTGTCCATGCAACAGAAGTTCTATTCAGGTAAATAATATGCCATACCTGTCCATGCAACAGAGGTTCTATCCAGGTAAATAACATGTCATACCTGTCCATGCAACAGAGGTTCTATCAAGGTAAATAACATGTCATACCTGTCCATGCAATAGAGGTTCTATCAAGGTAAATATATCTGTCTATACAATAGAGGTTTTATCAAGGTAAGCATTTCATACCTAGCTATGCCATAGAGGTCCTCCGTGTAAATTGCATTTTCTACATGTACCTGTCAATGCAATGTAGGGGTCCAGATGCAAAGCATTTCATGCCTGTAGATTTAACAGGTTGCGCAGTTTCTACAATTTACATTGGAGGTGTTTTCCTTAGGTCACACACGTCTATCAATATACCACACAGATAAATGTCCTTAAGTTGGCCTTTTTTAAAATGCTGACTGTTCTTTCCTCAGGTTATATCAGGTCTGCAAGGACTTCTGTGGTGCATTATGTGCTGATGTCATCAATGCAAATTTCATGCTAATTGAAGAAATACTGGCAGAATTTATGGTAAGTTTCTAATCATACTGAAAAAGTTTGAAATATATTTAGTAAATAAGCGCAGAGAAACAACAACTATATTTTGATAAATTCTTAAAAAAATATACTTTGGATGATTTGAAAATTTAATATAAGTGTAATTTTTAAAATGATACATGTAAAATCATATCTAGCTGTTGCATATCCTATTTAGGACTATGGTGAGGTCCAGCTGACATCTACGGGGAAGTTGAAGCCGTACATACAGAGTGAGCCAGTTATGGTGAGATGTGACTCCACCAATGAACAGGCCACATCTGGGTTGTTTGGTCTACATAGCCGTACTGTACCAGCCAACGCTGCAGACAAGCCAGTCGTTAGAGCTCAAACTGATATGGTATGTGATGCCTAGATACTACAGTTGGGGCTATGTCAGATCTATGAAGGAACGCTTTGCCCAAACATATTTATTTATGAACTGTAGAGAGCACTGATTGAATTGTTAGAGCTCAAACCGATATGGTATGTGATGCCCATGTGAAAGCTGTCCAAAGTATGTATGTATTTATATATACATTGCATTTCTCCTTTAAGTGAACTGTAGAGAGAACCAATTGAATTGTTAGAGCTCATGCTTGTAAAGTATGTGATGCTTTGTAAAATTGGTGCTATGTCAGATACATGTATATTTAGGCAAGCTATGCCCATAGTCTATGTATATACTTCTGAAGAGAGCACTAGTTACATATAGTTACTCCATTGACTTACACTATTGAGGATTTATCTTTGACATTCATACTTACTGTACTTAGCACTACTATCGCCAATCATTTATTTGTAGGAGGATCGCAGGAACGAAATTTTTGTTGATGTCATCGAGAGGTTGACTGCATATTTTAATGCAGAGGTGAGTGTTTGACAGTACTCTATACAGCATCTGCCATTAAATTTAAGAAATTGGAAGAATTTAGTGATTGAGTAAGCATATCATGTCCATTGAACAAAGATTTCAACGACATTTTAAAACTTTAACAAAATATATTATGAGTATTTGTTTCTAGGGTGTCCTGCAAAGGAGCAGTGTGAGTGGGAATGTGATGATGAAGAGCTTTCTGATTGGCTCCCCCTGTCTCAAAATTGGCCTATCAGAACCAATTGTGTCAGATTTGACCAAACAAGGTTTGTTTCGGAAACCAAAAATGTGATCAATAATACGTACAGTATGAGTCAATGAGGGAAGCATTCATGCGCCACCCCTGAAATGATTTCGTCCCTTTTGTAAGCCCTAATAGGTTGTTCTTTGACATCCCATTTGAAAACCTAGATTTGCATGAAAATGTGAGCTTTGAACCTTTCATTTAAGGTTATGGAGGAGTTCATGTAGACCACTGCAGTTACCATGAGAACGTATCCACAACAGAGCTAGAGTCTGGAGTGTTGTCTGTTACTCCACCACAAGGAGAGGTAAAGGCTTGCTCAAAATAAAGGGATGACATTTTTGGTACAATTTAGGTGATAGAGTATAAAACCCATTTGATTTTTCCTTCAATAGTAACTGGGTTAAATAGCTAATGATGAAGCAGTTTTACCCCTTCATGTTACGGGTTGCCACTGCGCCACAGTATTTTCCCAAAAAACTCCCATATTTAGATTAAATGTTCTTGATTTCCATTTTAAATTCATTTTGATCTGATTTTTGAAAGAATTCAAAAACTCTGATTCTCATGTTATTAAAAAACTCATGTTGTCAATTGGCCAATTGTTGGAAGGTATACTCAGGATACTCCTTGCTTGTAGTTTGCGCTGATGACTTATCAGATCACCCAGGACCTGCCAGGGAGTCTACCATTCAGATTAAGATGTGAGAAGGAGACCTCGGAGGGTAGTCTTACCCTCCTTCTCCAGTTACATTGCAGTCTGCCACATAACAGTCATGCTGTTAAAGTCACTGTGAATGTACCATTACCGCACTCAACAACTAGGTAGGTTTACTAAGGGTTTCCTTTTAAAATGGCAAAGGTTGACATTTCCCTAATGCTGAAGTGTAACTTTAGCACATAACTGTATTTTTATTGCTTTGACATATTTCTCTCAGATATAAAAAGTAAATAAAAAGGGTTCTTCTTTGGCTATAAGTCATGAACTATCAGTATTATTTTGAAGCTGGCAATGACTTCTGACCAGATTTATTGAAAAACAATGCAAGGGTACTTTCCTGAAAAAAGGCTTTACACTCATAACTTTATACTTTATTTTAAATAAGAAAGTAACATGGTAAAGGAAATCATTTTTCAAAAATTTGACATTGAACTTGTACTTTTAAGGTGGCGGAGACTTTAAATGTAATATGTTAAAGATTATTTAGCTAGGTAACTCTTTCATTGTTCAGGGAGCATTTTTTTCTTCTATTCATAATGCATACTTCTATGTCTTAATATACAGGGTGCGCACAGATGTTGGTGGAGGCAGTGCAGAGAGAAGTGAGAACAGTGTTGTTTGGACCGCAACTCTTTTATTATTCAGGATGCATTTTATGTTTGTATTCAGAATGCATACTTCTATATTGTCTTAATATACAGGGTGCGCACAGATGTTGGTGGAGGCAGTGCAGAGAGAAGTGAGAACAGTGTTGTTTGGACCGCAACTCTTTTATTATTCAGGATGCATTTTATGTTTGTATTCAGAATGCATACTTCTATGTCTTAATATACAGGGTGCGCACAGATGTTGGCGGAGGCAGTGCAGAGAGAAAGGAGAACAGTGTTTTGTGGACAGTTGGTAGAATGACAGGAGGAACTCATGCAACTGCAAGAATACAGGTTAGGGATTAATAAATATTTGAGTTGGTAATTTATTATTTACTACCCATTCTTAAGTCACCACTACTTACACATTGCTCTGGTCTCCAACTTTTCTATGGACAATGTTTGATCATTGGCATTTAGTGGCATCTGTAACAAATGGCAGGTGGTAACATTTTGCATGTTGTGCTTTATTCACTTCCATCTTTTCTTAAGAGTTATGCAATATTTAGTTGTGATTACTATTATAACTGAAAAGTGATTTCTGGATGTATAATACCAGTGAAATAAATGTTATATATTGATCATACAGGGTGAACCAAAAAACAGAACCCACAATTCCAAATAAAGGATTAGCGTTCTGCTTTTGTGGGTCACCCTGTATCCATGTGTATAAATGAATCTAGGTTTTGTGTTCTTTCAGCTCTCAATTGATGCATCCTCCGAAACTGCCCTCCAAGAAATGGGAAGTGTGTCTATAAACTTTGAACTGGCAGGTTATGTCTGCTCTAGAATCCATCTGCAATATGTGAGAGTGTTTGATACACAGCACTCCTATGTGCCATATAGATGGTTGAGATATATCACAGTCCCTGATGCATATATATACAGACTAACATGAGGACTATTATCATAGATATACACTGTTACTTTGTGTGTTCTCATGGCTGTATCTTGCATAATTGCCATGATGTGATGTACAAGGGCTGATCAATAAATTTTGCAAGTGATCTCATCTAAGAAAACATTGAGAGTCATGGCATCAAAATTGGTACATTGAAGATATATTTGAATAACTGATCTACAACGCTGAAATATTAAGTGTCAACTTTGTTTAAAATATGGCAGATATGATGTACATGTATGTGAAATCGCAAAGTGTCTAGTAGATGCTCTACTTTAGCTGCATGATGCCAAATCCACAACATAAAATGGACATGTTAAAGGCACATGTACAGTTAAATCATTTAAGTCATAAAACTGGACTGTTTTTTTCAGTATGAATTCATCAGTACTGATACAACTTTATTTGTCAATAATATTTTGAAATAAATAAACCAAAAATTTCTTGAAACACCTAAGTTGTTATGAGTAAAGGAAAATATATTGTTTACATAGTATTTAGCTCATACTCCTAAAATAACAGACTAGAAAACTATTAACAAAAAATATAACCTTAAAATGCTATTACAACTTTGCAATAACACCCTGGTTCTAAGAAATGAATGTTTCTAGTATACAGATCTACATAAATAAATAAAATCAAATACTGAACTGTGTATTTGAATCTATAGTATAGTATAACTTTAAAACTGATACTGTTTTATACTGTACTATTAATACAGTACCCTAAGCATATCATACATAACCATATTTTACATATTTTTTGCATTATAAAATGATGCTTTGAAATTCATCCCAAAGATTGATCCTTAATATTTGTAGACCACATATATATTGGATATTTTCAATCAACATTATGAAATATAATGTTTATCTTTATTTACTGTGGTAATAAATGATTTTTTGAATTTGGTATTTATTAACACAGTAAAAAGAGAAAGTAAAACTCATTGAATTGTTCTCAATGATATAAAGTAAATCACTTCAGAACCCGGGCCATAACATTTTTAAGGAGCTGTGGAGATAGCGTTTCTAACATATTTGGGGTTTCCTTTGTAAATCAAAATAAACGAATTTACATTCATCATCATCTAACTGCTGAACAAAATACAGGGTGAGCCAAACAAATATTAATTACTCATTCATTTAGCATGTGTTTAAAAGTGATATTTGGCATAATTGAACCTTGTTCAATGTCCTTTCATTCTACTTGGACTCATTGGTCTAATCCAAATGGTCATGTCTTTATGGCCATTTTACAAAACATGCTTGAAATGCCAGTTTGAAATACTTTCAATGGTCAAAGTATGGGGGGTTCATTCATATCAGTTGACAATTGGGAACAGACCAATGAAACTTCATAGAATAAGAGGACATTGAACAAGGTTTGATTGTGCCAAATATGACTTTAAACACATGCTTAATGAACGAGTTATTAACATTGATTTGGTTACCTTTTTTGGAACACCCTGTATTAATTCTTCAATAGAAAGTTTTAAAACCCCATATTTCTTAGAAAAGCAATTTTCCACCAGCCAATTGGAAAGATGCAGTTTACCTGAAAAACATGTTACTTTTTCATGGTTACTGAAAACTGTACAATTATCTGACTGGTTGGGGTTATACCTGTTCACTGTATTGAAGTGTAGCTTAACTCATACACTGAGGCCCCCTACATATATATTGTTCTATAATATATTGGACTTTTAAACAGAACCAGGTCAACATATATGCGTCTCATACTTTCCATTCTTTTTTATACTGTATGTAATACAATGTATCTCTATATACTATTATACAGTGGTCTCCCCACGTTTTTTCTCGACCAATCCTGCTTTAGTATTTCATCAATCTGACATGACAAGGTGTAAACAGATTATCTATATTGCCATGTAATATTCAATTTTTTGACAGGGTGAAACACCTGGTTCGCAAGCTCCAATGCTGGGATAACCCTGTACATTTTGATTTTTTTCTGTCATCCCTCATTTTTTCCAAAGCTCATTTCTGTTCTGACGGCAGATGAAGATGAGCAGTATGAAAGTGACAATCAATTGTTGATAACTTTTTGGAATTGAAATTAAATTCACCAGACACATTCATATCTTGACCTGGCCCCTGTTTTATTTAAATATAGATGGCACTAATAACTACAAATAATGTGACTAAAGAGACAATTCTATCACTTTACCATAGGACACTCATTGTGTCATAAGCCACCATGGTAGTTGAGAATATCTTCCTGTGAACACTATATATATTGGAATATACATGTACATGTATGTATACAATGTAGTTGAATAATAATAAATAAATAAACAGGTTATTTACAGGCGACTTACAGTATTCAAGTATACACTAAACAGCTCCCTACATCTAAAACTCGCAAATAAAAATTAAATGTGTATATATATAAAAAGAATCGCCATAAAATGAGGTATTGGATCAGGTTTATACATTAGCTACTACTTCTTCATTGGGACTGGACTAGTAGTAGACTTGAACTGTTGAAAATTAACATAAATATATACCCTTATATGGAGCTATTATGGAGTTCCCATAAAAATCTACCATGGTATATGAAAGAAATACTTTTAACTCACATATGCACATTGTTGTCATGAAATTCATTGTTGTCATGGGAATCCCTATTGTTGTCATGGGAACCCACTAAGTCCACAAACATTGTTTTAACAACATCATATTAAATTTCATGTGAGATTGCACTTCCAAAAATGTTACGTACATTAAAATGATCATATTCATTCATTGCAATTTATGGCAGTTATCAGATATTGCACTTTTGAGTTTATTTGCACATTGTCTGATCATTGCACTTTGTATGAATTAAAGTACATGTTAAGTACATGTACACATATACTGTAAAATGGCACATGGTTTGGGATAACTGTATTTGTGCTGGTCAAAACCCCTCACTAGTTTAGTCCAACATAGAACCCTGTTTTATTTTGACTTGTTATAAGTCAACATTTTAACTTCTAAATCTGTGAAGCTTTGCAAATTTATATCTCTAAAGCAGCAAAACATATCAGATCTGCTCAGTTTACTTATATACATTTAGTGTAGAGATGGCATAATATGAAATAGTGGAATTTGTTGATGCTTTATCAATGAGTACCCTTACATCAAGCAAACCAAACATTCACATTGAAAATGTTAGCAAAATCACATTCCATGCAAGATACATTGTCTGTATTATTTTATCTAAAGCTTGTTCCCCTGAACATAATGTTGTAGCAATTATATCTGAGTATTCTTAACCAAATTGCAAGGAGGATTGAATCCCAGAATGCTATTCCGATATTCTGCCATACATGGGCATCATTATGCCATATACAAAATTTAAAATTTGCCAGTCGCCATTTCTCAATCTTTCTCACTTCAGAATTTTGGTCTTATTACTTAACAGAAAAAATTCAAACACACAAGAAGTAACCAAGATATTAGTTCAGATCTTTTGATTGCTGATTGTGAATTTATAGCGGATAACAGTTTCAATTTGACACCGATTTAAACTTGGCAAATTAGCAGTTTCGTCACCATAATGAATATAAAAATGTTGTAAATGTTTTCAATGAATTCTGTGGAAAAAGTATTTGCATGATGTGTAATAAACATTAGTACTTTTCATGTATTCCTCTGGACTTTCATGATTCTAGTGCATTTTCATTTTCTGTTCATGAAACAGTATAAATGTCACTTCTCAATGGCTCAAATAAGTCTCAGACACAAAGACTGTTAACAATTCAAGGGAAAATATAAAGCATTAACTGCTTACTAAATCTGCCAAGTTAAAGTCTAAAACTGCAAATGCCAAATTAACCATGGCCTCAATAACCCATTCATGTGTACTTATGGAAGAATATCTTCTGTGTAGGATTCTAGGGTACGATTTGCCAGAACTACATTGTAGATGCAAGCCTAATCCCTACCTCCTAAGATGCAAAGTACTGGTATAAGCAAAGTGATAATGTCAATTTTATCCACGTTTTCATGCTAATGTCAATCTCTAGCTTTTGATTATGAACACATAGCTAATTTGTACACTGCTATTTACATTTTTGACTGGATTCATATATTTCAACAGTATATTCTGTCACGATCATATTAACCTACAATGACATGACAGTGATCTACAGTGACAATCCCAACGTCTATTAGTGCAAACATATATAACATAACATTTCATCTCCCTCTATACTAACAGTGACCAGGGGACCATTTCAAAACTGATCACAGTGATCAAATAATCCTTTACATACTACTATAGCGAGAGGGTTATTTCAAATGTGTCCCCTATGTCCCTATGGCCATTTCAAATGTTTATCATACATTTAATGATTAAGAGACCATTTCAAAATTGTTCCATTACATTCAGGTGATCATATCCTCAAGGGAATAGTTCATAGTGTTCCCATACATTCAAGTGACCATGTCCTCGAGGGACCATTTCAAAATTGTTCCCATACATTCAAATGACCATACCCTCAAGGGACCATTTCAAAGTTGTTCCCATATACATTCAAGTGACCATACCCTCAAGGGACCATTTCAGAATTGTTCCCACACATTCAAGTGACCATACCCTCAGATCAAGGGACCATTTCAAAATTGTTCCAATACATTTAAGTGACCATACCCTTAAGGGACCATTTCAAAATTGTTTCCATACATTCAAGTGAAAATACCCTAAAGGGACCATTTATTATTTGTTCCCACACATTCAAGTGACCATACCCTCAGATCAAGGGACCATTTCAAAATTGTTCCCATACATTCAAGTGACCATACCCTTAAGTGACCAAAGCCTCAAGGGACCATTTCAAAATTGTTTCCATACATTCAAGTATACCCCCAAGGGGTTATTTCAAAGTTGTTCCCATATATTCAAGTATACTCCAAAGGGATCATTCAACGCACAATTTAAAATTATTCCCATGCCTTCAAAGAACCATTTTAAAACTGTTCAAATACCATCAAGGGATCATCTCAATATTATCCCCCTGCCTTCAAAGACCCTCTTCAAGATTTTTTCAAACACCTTAAAGGGACCATTTCAAAGTTATTCCAGAGTATAACATGAAGTCTCAAATCTCCTGATTGTCTCAACATTCTGGAAAACTATCACACTATTGGAACTGTGCTAGGCCTTAAATAGGCATTTTGTAAATAATTAGCAAGAAATTCAAAGAATTTTAAATTTTCAAGATTGGAAAATGGACCCCTGTGAATGATCACATTAATTGGACAGTTTGTTAATACCTGAGAAAGTATACATGGTTTCAATCAGTGTGCACACAAAATAGGTGTATTCTAAATATTTATATAAGAGAAACCCCCTCATATTTAGAGCAAGGTTGGAGTTATTAAATTATATGTTTAGCATTATTTTGTAGAAGACTTGGAGGGTGAGCAAAGGTTTTATTTTTTCCTGTCCTCAAAAGGCCAAACTTGTTTGCAAGAGAGGAAATATCCCATAATTCATAGGTGAACCTATCTCTATGTAAAGATGATTATACAGAGATTCATCCTATATGAAAAATAGATTCATTTATGAATTCTGGGGTATTCCACATGGTGTCTATAAAATCTTTTTACAAGTACAATACAAAGTCTGTGTAAAGAGGCTTTATGGACACCCTGTATATTTCTGTCAAATTAGATGAAATATGCAAAAGTCATATTTAATGTTTCCATAATAGAACCGACCTTATCTAATATGCAGTTGGAACGGATTTAAGACAATATGCTTAAAGAGAGAATCAGATCTAGCGAGCAAGCCAACAAAAAAATTGTTTCAATTTTAGAATATTTCAGGCTTATGTCATTCCTTGTCATGTCTATTTTCTAAAAATTCCCAAAGTGCACACTTTATTACAAGAAAACTAAAAAATGTTACAATAATGTTTTATTTTTCTATAAGAATGGTTACCATTCTTATTATTTGGGAGAATTTAAACATTTTTCACCCATTTTTGAACTTTGAATCCATAATAACTTCACCAATTTATAACACATCATGAATCTTTTGGGAGATATTGTATTTGAGATTGTAAGAAATAGATTAATAGGTCAATTGTACATGTTGCTTGTACTTTTTCCACCCCTATAGATCTGACTCTACCTTTAACAAAAATTTAATAACCCCACACTAAAATTGCAGAAAATGTTCCTTGGGTTGACTTGAAGTTGTTGAGTCAGTGTTTTGTTGTTTACTATGTACATGAACTGACTGCAATTTTATACACATTTTGATTAAAAGTGAAACCATAATGTTGCGATATCTATGAAGCTTGTAACAAACCTTGTTTTCAAGTTGCAATAGGCCTATATGTTATAATGTGAGTAGTGTGTTAGCAACTTGAAATCCAAGGTACTGTAGTCTGTCATTTAAGCTGCCTGTACATGATTTTAACTTGGTCATGCATTAACTATACACTGATACAGCGTGTGACGTAAGCACAGCCCAGAAACTGCGCCAGAGCCAGTAAGTTCAATCTTGGTCATTTAGATTTTTTAGCATGCAAGTAAGCAATATGGCAACTGGTACTTTAATCAATTTTAACCAGTAGCACAAATCATTTTTATGACACACCTGTTAATATCAGTTTATGTTTTCTTGCTAGTGGTAACTATTGGTCACTGTTGCTAGTGGTTACTGTATCTATAGCAGCAATGTCAAGGTAGTCATGATTTCATGTCCAAGAGTGAAGAGAAAAAATTAGCCTTTACAGGAATGAAATCACCACTCCATATTGAACTGTACATTTAATGTTACATAGAAAGTACTTCATTCGAGAAAAGTTTGCGATAAGCATGACCACAATGACAAAACTTTCATGTTCCTATGACGATGCGTAATGCGTTTATGGTTGGATTCATAGGAGTCACGCTAACGAGTTGCCTCATCCCAGTGCCACCTATCTGCTGTCTAGCTAATCTATTGGTGTAGCAACCGTGTGCTGCCCAGGTGCACTATTGGTCGCTGCTGCAGCGGAGAGTGCAGAACTCACGACAGCCGAGGTAATCACCTTTCTTACCTCGCTGGCAAAGCGTTTCTTTACTGTCGACTGGAAGAAAAAAGAAATTCCATAAATGAATGAGTAAAGATGAAGAGATACGACTGATTTGAATCAATCTGGGCTGAAGATTTGACAATAGAAATCTAATCATTGCGCTTGCACATGTTTATAATAAGCCAGTGTAGAATAAATATGTACAGAATTTCAAGTTTCATTTTTACAGTAATTTTAATTTCACCATGAAAACAAATATTCTACAAATACAGCAAAAATGTTTTTTGAGAAAGCTACCAGATAAACTTTTTTTCATCAAATAAATAATCAATAAAAAACGCTAGATGCGAGAAGTCAACATAATTGGCAAACACAACTCCACTGCTCCCGTCATATATTGTAATTTAACAAGCAAAAATTGAAAACGAAGGGTGGGTCAAACATTCTGCCTCAATTATCAAAGGCAAATGAATCACATTTTCATTGGTATATAGACAGTCTCTGAACCAATTGAATTGAGTTTATTCAAATAAAAGTGACAAAATAATTGACCACCCTATATATAAAATTCATCATGTACTCAAGGAGTACATTTAAAATGCCCCTAGAGTGGCGTTCATCAATGCATTGAACAAAGTACCTTATTCCGTAAATAATAAATGACTTGGAAATGTTAAAGGAGAAAATTGCAAAGTAACATATTGATAGGAGCTTCACTGGTACCAAATCATGCCAAAATGCAGCTATATGGGATGCTAAAATAATGGAAAACAATTTATAAAGGTTGCGCTCAATGCGGGATATAGCCAGCATAGAACCTTGCAAGACTACCTCGGTAATTAAAATAAAAAAACAGCATGCGCTATCTAATTTTTACTTTATAGATATATTTTGCTTTAAATCAGCACATATTTCTTAATTGTCATTCCTAATAATTATTGTTAGGAAAAATTAGTTATGCAAATATTCTTGAGAGAATCCAGGTGAAGGCAAAGTTGGAAGCATGGAATGCATTATTGCTAGCCTTACTGGATAAAAGTATCTTAGTTTTTATGGTTTTTTATTCATATATCTAATCTACGTCCATATGTATCTCATTCAAAATACTTGATTTTGATTGATCGAAGAGCAGACAATCGTTTTGCATACAAGTTAATAGTATTGGGATTAACTTAAATGTGATGCCATAATTTTGAATTTAAGGGTGCATGTTATGAAAAAGGATAAATGTTATTATATCTTTCATAATCAAACAAAATAAAATGGTACTTTAATAAAGATGCAGAATTTTATGAGTTAGTGAAATATATGATATACATGTAAAAGCATACAATTATGTACATCCAAAATATTGGTATAATTTTATTCAAATACTGTACCCAAAAGGACAAAAATATAGATATCTACCTCTATGTTATCTAATAATTGTCTACATTATCTAATATAATTGTCTATATTATATGGCAATGCTATTCAAAATAACTTAAACCACAGATCAAATATAATATCTGTATTATCTAATGTAAAATCTGTATTATCTAATAATATATGGATTATCAAATATACTTGTCTTTTTTATCTTTATAATATCTGTATTATCTGATATATAGTAATACAAAATTTAAGATTCATGTCATTTGTGCTAAAACTCACCAAAAGCAAATTGGCTTCCAAAAATTCAAAGCGGTTGAAATAATTGTTCTAACTATTAATCAATAGGGGAATGGATATCAATGTTAACAAGGCAGTAACATGCAAAATGTCACCATCTGGCATTTGTTACAGACACCGAACAGCATCTACGAACTGCCAAATGCCAAGCACCAAACACCATCTACTAATAAAAAGTGGAGACTACAACAATGTATCACCACTTGTGGTGACACCACTTGAGGAAGTGACATACACCAGAGCATACAGCATCCCCTAAAAACATCAGTGAGATGGCAATGCTATTCAAAGAATAGACAGTACCCCAACATGGATTATTTAGTAATTAATACATTGAGGTATAAATGGAATATTAAGAAGTTTTATAATATAAAATCTACTGGTACATATAATGTAAGATGATTTTAAGTCGGTGAAAAACTAATGTGAGGTTTTATTAAATGGGGTGAGACTGAGAAGTAAGGAAAATGTAATTGGAAAAAACTCTAAGTGGCATATACACAAAAGTCAATATATATATCGGGGGGGGGGGGGGTGCTCATGAGGATGATCTGCTAAAATCAAATGGATATAAGTTAAAAAATTAATAATGAGGTAGCTAAGAAATTTATACCAACTTTACAAAATGTTCCAAAAGAAATTAGATATTAATAGGTGATTATCATAAATATAGTATATAACAATAATAATTAAATTAAACATCAAATTGTTTATAAAACATGATAATTTCAAGAAAATCATTTATTTTCAAATTTTTGGTGATCATTTTCTAAGATACCTCCTGTAGTTATAAATTGTAAATGTGCGCTACATGTATATTTATAAGTGAATCTACTAAGTATATGTACTAGTAAGTGCGTCCATGTATTTCTCAATTGTGACTGGACATGTATTTGTGGAGTGCATCTACGTGTATGTAAAAATACCTTGAGGTTGTTGCTAACTTGGGGGCTACACTAGATGCTCTGGATTTTTTAGAATTCAGTCTCATAACTGGAATTCCAACCTGATCCTTTAACCGATCTTTGAAAGACAACTGGTCATAAAAATATGGTAATATTTTAGTATAGAAATTTTTAAGTTTGGTTAATTACATTTACAGCAAATGAGCTGTATTCCTAGAGGTCATTGCTCATGGAGAACCATATAACATATAAATAATAAAATATATCTAAGAGGATTTAACACTTTGAACAAATGTCAACACCTAGCGGGTAATGAGTTACAAAAGTGTGACTATTTGTTACATACACCAAATGCTGGTCACATAAAATGGTAGCTGTAACAATATGATGACATCATAAACTGAATGTAGGTATTTCTAAATCAATACATACTTTTTTTATCCAAGGATTAAATGGATTATACTGTGCATCATAAATCAAAACGGGTAAATGTGTAAATGGACATATGTACTTTCAGATGCAAAAATTATGGAATAACATTAAACAAATCAAAAAATTCCAATACATTAAGCACAAATCATGAATTATCGATCAATGAAAAAATAGTACGAGTACTTTGAATTAAACTGAATGGTAATCATAATCAATCAACCAATCAACTAACAAACCAATCAATCAGCAGCAATAATGTAACAAAATTTTACCAGAGCATTCAATAAAACGTTAGTTCAATCTAAAATCTAAATTTTGTTTTTTATGTAGCATGTAGCTATTATTCAGCATTGCTGAAATCTAATGATTGCAAACAGAGCATGCGGCAGGCATGCATGGCGCTAGGGACGCATGTTACATAACAAGCAGGTAATCAAGAGATGTGCCAATAAAATAATTACAAATATCTTCACTTGGTTTAGCTGATCAGTAATGCTAAAGAGTGGACAAAAGATTTCCTTAAAATGAACAAGCTTCAAATGGCATGTATCAAGTATCAAATACATGTATATGAAGCTGGTCAAGATTTCAAATGATAAGGAGTTTGTTTCCTAGTGATAAAACTGCTCGTCTTGAAATAAATAAAGTTTGTGATATCATTTGAATACTAGAATCATTCATTCATTTCCAATAATATTTATTTTTGAGGTCCAATACTAGCATTCTTGATCAGCAAGTCATGTTCATGTTATGTCATAACCAATATTTCAAAGACATCAACGGGTCATGGCCTAAGCTTAGGAGTTTGGGGGTAGAGGAGAAGTTACAAGAACACATCACAAGAGTAAGAGGTCACAAAGCTATCGTCAAACCATTTCAACATCACAAAGGTAAGATGTACATAACAAAAGCAAAAGCTGCGAATGACTTCTCTGAATAGAGATGAAGCGGAGATCGAAACATTCCGATTTTTATAACTGTACTTTATTGAATCAAATAGGTAAATGAATGCAAGGTACAAGGTAAAACCATTGTCTAAAACATGAAATTTACTGAAGCGTTATTATGTTGCAAAAATTACGCTCGCAAATGTTGATGTCTTTGAGGGAATCACAAATCAGGGGTCAGTTTTACAAAACATCACAGACTACATGGTTAGATTCTAAGATGCACATGTTGGACATAGAATGAAGCATATGATAGTTTTGTTCAACCACCCCCTGATTTGCTAGGGATGGGCTAGAACACTAGCAAGCCTAATGCGCCTTCTAGCCCCTGACCCCTTTCCAGCAGGTCCAGTTTCACAAAAGTCAATACAGTATAAAGTTCTTATCATAAAAAATCCACATTCTACACTCGATGAGATGATTTTCAAAATCAATCCAAATTGAACTCCCTATTTTTGAAAAATTCAAGAAACTTTTATGAAACTGTTCCCTGATCTGGCATCGCAAAGCCTGAAGGGCACCACTGCCTACAATTGTATACATGTGCAGCCACCACTGTGCATTAATACACCATACCAAAAATTGCAAGTTGCGGCGTGAGCTGCGCGGGCCTAGGTTCCGCCGATACTTAAGCTGGGGAGCTTAGGAATTATGGAGCGTGTGGGCTGTAAAAAGACAATGCTGGTTTAGTGTTGTACAGTGTGTTACCATGGCAACAGCGAGTTGATCTAGCCTTTAAGAAGACAGACAGTCAAAGGGTTTGTCACGGGAGGACACTAGTAATGAAGAAAAGCCAGAAAATAAAGTCAATTTTAGATATTATTTTAGCACTTTTTGAATTTTGTTTCATACAAGACAGAGTCCTCTGGTGTGTATAGCCTCACAGCTGTCCCATGCCTGTGAGATAGTGTGACATTACAGATATGGCCCTGTAACATAGACTAAATATAAAACACATATTCTAAACTTTAAGTGTAGTGAAGATTACTACATTCACGTTTCAAAAGTTAACAAAGTCTTCCCTTAGTCCTTTCAATGCCATAAGCGCAATGATCACCATGAGGAAAGATTATTGTGTGCAATCAGTATTACTGTCATCACCATGGTGACCAAAAACTATGGAAAAGGCTAAAGGAAGGATAGATTAATCACAATAGAGTATGTGATTTATTCTTAAAGTTAAGATTTATTATATGTATTTCAAATCTGAGAAAACTTGTGTATAAAGCAGCCTGATGTATGAACCCTTCTTTATATGAACATTGTGACACAAATTCCTTTGCTCATTTTAAAGATAGAAATTGAACAAAAGATTTGATCAACTTGCATATCCACATTTTCCAAATGTTTTCCAAGTCTATTTGGTGACTCAGATACCCATCTCTTATATGGCCAACCACCAGATTAACTCTGGAGAGTTTACAACTATTAGCAACTTTTATTGGCACGGTAACATTATTTTTGACCATATGCCATTATTTGCAATCTGGTGCTTATCACTGTTTTTTATTATGAAAGGTATTTTCTTGAGAACACAGACATACATCAGACGATGGGGCTCATTCCTTCAAAATTTTACCCTGTTTCATAATTTTACTTTCAATTCTGTTTCCAATGATGTTTCTGTGGTAAATCTGAAGGTAAAATTATGAAACATCCAAGACTGAAGCAAGAAATAGCCAAAGTTTTAATATTGAGAAGGCATTAAGAAGCCAGTCTTGTGATAGTTCTGAAAGTAACTTTCTGATAAAAGAGCTCTATGTAATATAGATAATATAGAACATTTCAAAAATTGTAACTCAAATGGTAAAACACACAAGAAAGTCTTATTTAAGCCATTTTTGCATGTTTTAATTTTTGGATTGAGTTTGTATCAGAAGGGTTTCCACATCCCAGAATACACAAGTACCACATCATATTATCTGATTGTGTATATCATACTGTAAAGTGTGTAATATATACATGTGTACTATCCTTGCAAAGACCATTTATCTTTCAAAACTTTTGGAGGATTATTTGTTAAAAATGTTAAGATGATACATGTATCTCTAATCTTAAAGGGAAAATTGTTGTTACCCTATAGAAACATACCAAATTGAGAACTGATTTAAAACATCATCAAGAGGAAATTAATTCAAAACATCCCCAAAAAATATTTCAAACACCCTCAGGAATTTGATCCCAACATCCATTTGATTCCACATATCTCACACAGATATTTCATTTGGAAAAACCTAAGTACTCCGAAAAATATAATGACCAATTAATTTTATTCAGCAGATTAATTTTATTCCGATGATCTTTGCAAGGTTAAGCTAAATAGATATTGTGAAAGCAAGCATGGACACACTGATCATGTGGATTAAGTAGATACTTCTACTGGGCTGTGAAAGGCTAGCTTGAGGCATTGAATTCAGAATATCTATATTCAAAATAAAACATTCAAAAAGTTACATTTTAATTTGAAACATAGTTCTCATGGGAGGATATTAAAATGCAACCTGATTTATAACTTACACATAGTCTCTTTAAAAATTCTTAAATACAGTGAAATCTCTAGTGGAGCTATTCTGTAAGTGGAACCCCTCCAAGTGGAACACTTTTTACAGTCCCATGACATGTACAAGATAGAGGTTATTTAATGGGAGGTTTTTGATACAGGGTATATCTGAGGGAAATACAATATATCTACCCGAGGGACCTTATATTGACTTAATGTTAAACAAACTTCTGTTGGTGAAACACCTCCAAGTGGAACACTTTTCAGAGGAGCTAAGGGTGTTCCACTAGGACAGGTTTTTCTGTAGTAAGCTTTATGCCTGCTAATTTGGCTTGGAAACTTCAATGAAACTATACTGAAAGTGACCACAACATTAGATCAAGCACATTTTTGACAAATATTCAGACAACACAGGTCTGCATTATTGCACATTTTATGAATATTGTGTATTCAAAGACAAATAATTGGAAAATTGAGAAACTTTCTGTTATAGACCCCCCCCTGTAATTGTGACTGCTAAATAATAAAAAATAATTTAGCTGTCACAATTAAAAGTATTTCTCACTTCATTAAATGAATTTACTATCAATGAAACAGATACTTTGCAGGCATCCTGAGTGTGTTTTGACCCCATTGACTGTCTGTATAATAATATAAGGTACTGCTTACTTGTGCATGTGTCAAACCCTTGCATCTCTATCTGAGACATTAGGGTCATTTGTGTAAGAAATCAGGTGGCATTTTAAGGGCTGGTAGAGGCATAGGATACAAGAGTTCAAATTTTTCACTTGAATCTATAAGGATAACTATGTTTCTATGATAAAGAATTTGACAACGTAAAATAAATAAGTTGTACATGTCAATCAATTTTCCTCACCTTTTTCTTGGCTCCGCCCATGTATTCCTTGTACATGTCAGACCTTAAGTACCTAGTGTAACTATCTCGCGTCATCAAGTGAAATATATGTTCCTAGAAATAGAATTTTGTTATATAACACAATTTTGTGACATCAATCAGTCTTGCAGGTTTGCATAAAGTATCGTGCTTTCCATACTTGTGTATATGGGTGAGGGGGGGACAATACATTGCTTGATGCAAGACTGGAAAAGTTTATTTCTATATATTCCTATATTGTCCCTACTACGACTACCCAACTTTCCCCAACAAAAACTGTGAATCTATTAAGGAGAATATGCTACCTAAAATAAGCTTTAATTCTTTCATAACATTGATAAAATCTGTAAGTAATTAAACTACAAAATCACAGGCATAGCAGAATCATACGAGAATTCAACTTTACAGAACCAAAGAGAAGCTTTTTATTCAACGGAAATAAAATCCAAAGGTAGTTCTACACCTCCTTTAGCCCACCTTAGCCTCACCTATTCAATTTTTGCCTCACCTAAATTTTAAACCCTGGCTATGCCCTAGAAAATATTATGAGCTAACATACCTCTGCATCATCAAAGCAGTACCTATCAGGTTTTGTATTGACTTTATTTCTGACTAGTTCCATGACCCTGCAGTCTACATTTACTGGATTGTGAGCACCGGGTCCAAGGAACTCACTAAAATAAGAAGTAAAGAATACTTCAATAAGTTGAAGATGCCTTAACCAATACAACATAGTTTCTTTTCTGCACATGTTCAGGATAAATTGGTATGAGATTGGTATGTAATAAATTGGTTTTCAATTGCAATACTTTTAAAATAATGAAACAGCATATTACCAAAAATCAGCAAAAATGAAGTTTTATGTGAAGATAATTGTGCAACATTTATTTGAATTTAAAACAATAAAGAATAAAAGGAGTCTTTATTCTGAAATAGTAGAAGGGGTCTGGTGTAATCCAGCAGCAGTTAAAACATGTGACAGACATAAACTATTGTCTTACTTGTATATTTCCTCCACATGTTCAGGGACCTCCCTTTTCGGAAGGGTCTTTAAATATTGGCACGCTTCCCAAAATCTGAAATATTCACCAGAGTATATTTAAAGTACATTGCACATACAACTATATAATAACATTTGATTCTTTTTTAATTTAAAGGATGAGTCTGGAGATATGCCCTTTTGGTCCCTCAGTTAAATGTATGTGAAATATGATTTTTTAAAACTGTCCTAGTTATATGTGTTAAGTATATTTACTTTTTCATGAGTTTTGATGCATAATTAACCCCCTGCTGAGAGTCAAAGTAAGTATCCTCACAGAAAACAAATAATCATTATCATAGAAAAAACACGTGGCAGTCTAATTGTAACATGTATGATATGTAAAATAGAAATAACTTAAAAGACCCATGAAGAATTTTTTTAAAAAAATTATATTTTTTGAATATATTTTAGGATTTAATTTTTTTCAAATTTTTGAATTTCCCGCCAGTTTAATTTGAAGTGGGAAAAGCAAGATGGCTGCCATTTGGTATAAGAAATATATATATAGTTTCACTTTTAGTTTTCACAATGAGCACAGTTTTCCGGTTTGGGTTTTTTGAATGATTCTGAGACTTCATCACCAGGGTCATGTATAGAGATTATAAATTTGAAACCAAAATGTTGTGCTCAGCATGAATTTGACTGAAATATGTATAATTTCACCAACACAATTGAAGTGTCAAAACTGGATGCTTAGTAACTTTGAGTGACTATAATCCCTTGATTACTCAGATAAACACCAATTCACTTATCAAGAAATACCATTCAATGTCTATACAAAGAAAGTAAGCAATGTTTTGGAGGATATGTTTCAAACTTTCTGTGTAAATTATTCATTTCGTATTTGCACTTGAATTTTTTTTCAATTGTGGCATAGTCATATGCATTCTCTTTGATGCCAATATTCTTCATTAATTGTGATACAAATTGATATTTTTGTACTCTCAGAAGAAGGATAAGATATTGAAGTTAAATAATATGTGTGATTGAGTTGGTTTTTCAGACATTACAAGTCGATATCCAGACTCATTCCCAGACTCATCCTTTGTTTGGTAATTTAAAGAAAAATTAACTCTTAAACGCCACAGTATTTTTAATGGCTAAATTCGCTTTATGTTTTGCCATATTAACAGTAATTTGAATGATAGTGATAACCAGCATTTTTCATACATTTTCTACTATACAGTTAATTAAGAGAGCAGAATTCCTGTCATAGTGAGAAGAAAATAGTTATTCTTTTGTCAATGAACTACACTCTGTTAAGCATGATAAAAGGCAAGAAGTTTAGTTAGAAATAAACGAGTTATCTCATGAATGGGACCCTTACATGGCTCCTAAAAGGTAGAAGACACTAAATGGTGTAACACTATAAGCTGAATTTTGTCCACATAGAGCATGTGCACAATACTAAAGACATGTAAAATTGAACTGTCAAAATAATAGAAATTACTCACCAGCTTGCCTCTACCGGAAGTTATGATACGTTATGGTGTAACTATGGTAATTAATTTTAAAATATTGAAAAAATCAACAACATTCAATTTCTAGGGTGTACAACCATTTTCGAGCAAATTTGCCGATATGATAACAATATTTTTGAGTTCCCCTAGGCTATATATAAACTTCATCAATACACAGTATATTCAACATAAGTTTTGCTTCTCGATTTTTAAATATCACTATGCAAAGACAGGGACTCATTTTAGGTAAAATCATTGCTTCACCAATGAAAATTAAAGGGAACGTTAGCTCACAAAATAAATAAATCCATTACAATGTTAAGTATATGATTTGAAAGATTGTCTGGATTACATGTATATGTGTGATCGATTGATGCATAAACAAACATATTCATTTCAACTTGCAGACCTCCATTCTGGCTCATGTATAGGCCTAAGACGCCATATTGCCTTATGTATTGTACTGCCCATGCGTGCATACTTAATGCGTGACGTCACATCGACAGAGATCAGCGATCAAGTTTGACTAAAAAATTAAAAGATCCACACTTAACAGCACAAAAATGATATCAATGATCACCTATTTCATATCAAATAAGTGTAGGATGTAAGGTTTAACATTTTTCATGTTATTTAGTATTTACAGAAGCAGAGCTTGTAAAGAAACCAAGTTTTAAATTCCGATTTTGACTGTTGACAAAAATAAAGAAAAGAGAGAAAGAGGTGACTTGTTAGAAACAATGACATGAAATTGTGAATAAAAAAGATATTATTGTGGGTTTTATTTTTTGAGAGTTCATCAAATACACTCATGTGTATTAATTTAAATATGTATTGTAATACCTCTCAGTTCTACCAAGGATTATAAAAACTGATCGAAATGGCTTCGTTTTTAAAGTATAAAAAACACTACCCTACCCGGAAGTAGTATAACATGTATATTGAAACCATGTGTAAACTGTAAATCACGTGAATTGGCTGATGCAATCAGGATGTGACTAGTACAAAGTAACTATGATGCAATCAGGATATGACTTGTGCAAAATAATTGGCTTCACCTAGAATTCGCGATCTTTGCTCTTTAGCATAACATGAAGACATGTTTTGTGTTTAAGTAGCTAGATTCAAATACAAACTAAATGAATAAAACATAAACCAACCATCATTTGTTCCAATTATGGCGAATTTTCAAGGAAATACGTGTAACTGAATGTATGTAGGACCTTTCCTAAGCCTTATTCATAAGAAAGGTCCTAAGTCCAGATGTGAAAATTATAGACCAATTACGTTGCTGAATACCATTTCTAAAGTCTATGAAAGAGTTATCTATAACAAACTTAGCACTTACCTGATCTCCAATAACTTGATATATGAACGTCAGTCAGGATTCCTCAAAGGCCACAGTACCACACTTCAGCTAGTTTCAATTATTTATTATATTAATACTGAATTGAGTAAAGGAAACAATGTTCGTACTATTTTCCTAGATCTCGCGGCTGCGTTTGATACTGTTCCGCATAAACTACTTATTCATAAGCTCAGAAGTTATGGTTTTTGCAATAATCTTATAAAATTGATTAGTTCTTACCTCACAAATAGAAAAATTAGAGTTTCTATCAACGGCTCCTCAACCGAATATTCAAATCATGATGATATAAATGCAGGTGTTCCCCAGGGATCAATCCTGGGACCTTTGCTCTTTCTCTTATACATTAATGATTTGCCAGACAATTTAAACTCAAGAAGCTACATTTATGCCGACGATACGTCCATTTACTTCACCTATATGAAACATTCTCCAAATAACAGCAGACTTCTTCAAAATGACTTAAACTCCCTTGAACAATGGTCTCAGTTATGGAAAATGCACTTTAAAGCTGAGAAGAGCAGAGATTTGACCTTTAGAACAATAGGAACTCCAAAGCCAGTTCACCAGCCTTTGACCCTCTCAAATCAAAACATTCCTATAGTTGATAGCCACAAACACATAGGTTTTCACTTGGACGACACACTTTCGTATGAAGTTCACGTAAGAGAACTAACTGCAAAGGTCCAGAAAATGTTAAATCCCTTAAAGGCCATTAAAAATAAAGTAAAGTCAGCTCACCTTGATCTTATTTACAATTCTTATATTTCTCCACACTTCGATTACTGTGACATTTTATACCACGGCAGTAACAAAACAACCTTAAAATTGCTAGATACCTTGCACTATAGAGCTGCAATCTTAGTATCTGGAGCTCTGCATGGATCAAATGGCGACAAACTTTTGAAAATTCTAAACTGGCCAACTTTAGAAGCCAGACGATTATCACACATAGGTGTGTTAATGTTCAAGGTAAAACATAATATGTGCCCTTCATATATCAGAGATATTTTTAGACTTTTGACACCTGTACCAATAGGAATAGAGTTAAGGGATAGGCCAACCTATCACATCCCATTACATATTTCTACCAGGTTCAAGGATAGTGGAGCTATCCTTTTTTCTAAAATTTGGGACTCCTTACCATTACAGCTCAGGCAGGTGCCTACTATCTCTTCTTTCAAAGGCCAAATCAAAAAGCACTTCCAAAATTTTCAAAATATTCAGACAAATTCACAAAATTTATCTCTTCCCCGAAATTTGGAAATCAAACTGAACCAATTACGTGTTGGCCTCTTGTTAAATGCACATAAAATGGCCCACTCTTTTACAACTACCTATTCTGATGTATGTAGATGTGGTTTAAAACAAACCACAAAGCATTTCCTCTTACACTGTCGCCTCAACAATGATATAAGACACCAAATGCTTGACAGGCTAAATGGATTATTTACCATGCATGACATAAATTTCTCCTTTAAAAATTTGAAACAAGATGATAAAATTGAAACTCTTTTGTATGGAATTAACTTTTTAAATATTGAAACAAATAGAGAAGTTTTGTCTATTACAAGTACCTTTATTAATGAATCTATCAAACTTGTTGAATAAGATCATGCTACCTATTCTTTTCACCTACTCCAACCAAACTACCAACCAACCACCAGCAGCCCATTTTTGTATTGTCAAAATCTGTATATTTTTGTATAATTTTATTGTAGTGTGTTTATATGTATAGTTGCCAATAATGTTTGCTTCGGCAACTTTTTGAAAAATCTTTGTAAAAAAAATTACTATGATAATAAAAAAAACAACAACAACAACAACAACTGAATGTAAATCAACAGCGGAGCTCTTCAATTATGAGGTGAGAAAAATATAAAAATAAAAACAAAAATAAATCTAACAGAATAGAGCTATTTATACGATTCTAAGTACATTTTAAGTGCTCCATACATTAATGTAAGTATAAAAGCCATTAACCTCAACTGGGAAGCACTTTCCAACTATTTTTACGGCTTGAATTGTAAGAAAATGGCACTCATCTCAAAAAATTGAAATTTGAAAGAAGCTCAATTTATTGTGAAGATGAAGTTTATATATATCTGTATATGGGGGTGCGAATATATAGTCATAGTATGGGCTAATTCGCTAAAAAAATGGCGATATATACCTCAGAACTTGTATTTTGTGATTTTTTTCAATATTTTAAAATTAATTACCGTAGTTTCACCATAACGTATCATAACTTCCGGAAGAGGCGAGTTGGTAAGTATATTTCAGTTCTTTTGACAGTTCAATTTTACATGTCTTTAGTATTGTGCACATGCTCTATGTGGACAAAATTCAGCTTATAGTGTTACACCATTTAGTGTCTTCTACCTTTTAGGAGCTATGTAAGGGTCCCATACATGAGATAACTCTTTTATTTCTAACTAAACTTCTTGCCTTTTATCATGCTTAACAGAGTGTAAGTGAACGGAGCAATCAATGTATTTCTGTTTTATATTATGAAAAGTCTCACTTCAAATTTTCTCCACTAAATTCTTTCTCGAGAAATTTGCCGAAATGATCTCTCCCTGCGGGATCCTTCAGCAGTTCCTGAACAGAGAAACCCCAGCGCTTCACACGCCGCGTAGGTACATCTTTCCTATAAAGTGACATAAAATAGTTCCTGAGTTACTTAGAAGAGTTCATAAATTGTAATCAAACAATTTAACGCATATTATTTTACAGGTATTATGTGTATATTCTCTAATCAGATATTCCAAGAGTACCAAAACAAACTATGATGATCAAAATAACAAAATATGAGAACCAAATATGAATATTTGCCGCAGAGTAGTTTGGACCAAATTACACTTAGGCTAATGTACTGCCTCAAAGATAATTTAGTCCTAGCTCTGTCACTGAGTGTATTGATAGATAGAGGCGGTTTTGACTTACGTTGATTTGTCCTGCTCCCACATGTCCAAACTGTCAAAAACCCAGGGGTTGGGCCACTCCTGAGGGGTCAGTAAACTATCAAACTCAGAGTACTGTTCATAATAACTTCGATAACTAAAACAGAAATAAGGCAAATACATGATTCCTTTAACAACAATAATTCCTGTATCACCGAGTAGAATATCGAATATAAAATATCAAACATTATACGGGACATTAGTTATGCAAATTTTCAAATAGGCGATGTAAAAAAGTATTTTCAGAAATCAATTCCAATATTTTGTAATGACAGTTGAACTTTTTTGGGATGAAATAAGAAAAATAACTCACTGGAGAATGATAACATACCTTTCGCCTACTTTAGAAACTTTAATTCGACGCCTCTCAAGACGCTTGCGTAGAGTGAGGAGCTCTTTTTGTAAGCCTTCAGGGTTCTTCAAGTCTACCTCTGAGACACTAGGACTGATCCTACCCCCCGGCACACTATAGTTATGCTAAAATCATAATTAAAACAGGGCATTATGCAAAATATTACCACCTGCTATTTATTATAAATGCCGATCGCCAAACACCAAACGCTGAATGCCGACTACCAAACACCATCCACAAAAAGTTGGAAACTCAAAATATTTGATCCTCACTGAAACTGAGAAATCTTTGCCACGATAAAGACACATTTGTAAAAATGTGAAATGTTTATTCAGAATTGGTAGCAGATGAAATTAGCTAGTGCTACAGTGTAATAATAAAACAGAAATGTATTGTCATATTAAACCTACTTTTGTTAAAAATTAAAAAAAAAAATTTCCACATCTTTTGTATCTGATATTTTAAAACAATACTTTTATGGATAAGGCTTACTTTGACACTTTTAGCTGGTTTTGTAGATCGACATGCTTTCTTTATGTCTACTTCTGTTGTGTTCACACAGCCAGGCTGGAAATTTAGCAAAATATTTTATCATGCCTCTTTCAGGAGTTTTCACTTGATGCAGTTGTCCCTAGCAACAGGTGTCCCGTGTTAGTTTCCTAGCAACAGGTTTCTAATATTTACATTTTTTTTAGATATATATCTAGTGTAGTTTTTAGTAAACGCTTTCTCAAATTTTCTTGAGCATATGATAATACTAAAAATACTTTGTAATGGAAACTGTATACTGAAAGTTGTTGTGTTGATATTGATATATTATCACAAATAACTTAAGAATAACTAACCATAGGTCGATGCACATCCCAAAATGCCCGTTCTTGACTGTCTAATACTTTTCTCTCTAATTTGTCTCGTTTTTTATCAACTCTGAAATAAATGAGATAAGAGTGAATTCGAAGGAAAGTGAAAGCACAAGAACATTATGACTTAAATAGAAGAGCCTAGTCCTTTGTAGGTAGGCAAAAAATTGTCCATTTAGCACATTTAAGAATTGAATACAGAAAGTCACATATGAACAAAAGGATTATTGGGAAAGAGGATATTCATGGCCAAGAGTAAATCTTGTTGAAAGTTGATATAAAAATCAAAATCAAAATTCATTGAAAACCAGGAAATGAATGTTAATGGTCTTCAGCTCTGGTGGCATCGAAATAAAGATGGTTGACCATTTCTTGTGAATTCCCCTGGACATAAGGGACGTATTAAGGGTCAATACTTATGTCACTCTGAGTAAAAAGCCACATGCACTTACTTAGCTTGGGCTTCTGACTGCATGTATATAAACTCCCATTTCCTGGAGAACGTTTTCTGTAGCCGAGCTAGATTCTCCGCCTCGTAATCAGACAGTTCTAGACGCTGCTTGTTTTGCATTGTCCTTTTGCATAAATACACCGCTACAAAAAGCAAACATTATCATGGAGTTTTATAGTGTAACTCAGTGGTATATTTTTGATACATTTTTGTAAAAGCTTTAGTTTTATCATTATTTCAACTAAAAAGGACAAATGAATTATATTAATTATGATCATATTATTGTACGAAGTCTCTTGATTTAGAAGCATATGTGGGATTTACATTACAATGTTATGAACAAGGTATTAACATGTAAAATGTCACTACCATATGTGACAGATGCCAACTACCGACAGCTGATTGCCAACTGCCATTGCAAAAATGGAGAACATAACATTAAATTTTTGGTGGTGACATAAAAATCATTACAGGTGTCCAATACTGCACTAAATATGAATGATTGAAATCAATTCAAAACTTTCGTTAATCACTGGCTTGTATTTCAAATATTAATCTTCCGCAATTATTTCTCTTTTTCCATGGTTTTCTCTTTATTCAAACTAAATCATTTGCATGCATCAAATTCTTTAAAATTTATGAACTTGCTTAAACCTTCCTAGTGCTTATTTAACCTTATTGTATTTTTTTAAATCATAGCCCTGGGGTTATTTTTTCCAAAGGATGCACTATAAAAAGCACAAGTATTCTTATTCATCATTCTAAAAAATATAACAAAAAATCTATGCCACTCAGCTGTGGTATACAACACAGTCTACAGTCACTTGAGAAGTAAGTTACAGAATTCTAAATGCAGGTGGTATTATAACGATACCCCTCAACAGAAAATCAATGGGCTTTAAAAGAACAATGAGGGTGAAGAGTGCAATATCCTCAATGTACAGCCGTCTGCTTATGGACAATATGTCACCGAGAGCACTTTTAAAATGGTAACTATGATGAAAAGTAGTAGGCATAATATAGGAAGAAAGCTACAGAAGTGTAGTGAGCAATCTAGATTGAATAGAAATGGAAGAAAAAGAAACACTTGATAGGAATTTTTGAGAGAAAAGTGTAAAATAAAAATGACCTAATTACTATTTTACATTTGGTCTATTTCCTGTTTGACAGTCTACGCCCTGTTGAAGAATTATTGATGAAGGAAAATCCTCCTTGAAAACCAGAAGCAACCATATAAAAGCCACACTTGCTCTGATTATGCCTCTGAACAAGAACATTGTACATGATTGCTTAACTTTATCTCAATTACTTATAATTAAAATTATCAATATACATTTGAACTAACTGGGCCAATCAGAGCATTTTTTCTTTGTCAATAGATTTTATTGCCATTAATTAGAGTATGTCATCACTGAAACATGGTTCTCTATATACCTGTATGGTAATTTCTAATAAAATAATATCCTCTGACTATTACTGACAAATTAATTAAATGCTAATAGAATCTCAATGATCTCTAATGCTATAAATGAATTTGAGCTACTTCAAAGTAGAAAATAAAGTTACAGTACATGATTTGCTAACTACAGTATATGTTCTGATTGGATATTAGCTAGAATAGGCAAGTCACTCTTATTTTAAGAGTTTAGTTTGTCATACTTTTGCAAAGAGCAGATTACTATATAATGTGAAACCTGTTAAGTGGAACACCTCTAGATTGTAATACCTCTATAATGAAACACTTTTCAGAGTCACAAGACCAACTGGCTTAATGTCAAATTCACCACCTCCAAAGTGGAATACTTTTTAGAAGAACTTAATGTGTTTCACTTAAACAGGTTTTACTGTACACTTACCATAATCAGTGTTCTCTGGCTCTCCACTTTTAGATGGCCAAAAACACGGAGTCTGGAACGCAAAAAATCACTGTATTATTGATAGGACTCTTTTTAAAAGTGTAGTGTATTAAACATTTAGTGTAATGAATATGTAGAGCACTAAACATGTAGTATAATGAACATGTACTATAATAAACAATGAACTGTTATGAACATGTAGTATAATGAACATGTAGTATCATGATTATGTATTGTAGGAACATATAGTGTACCAAACATGCAGTGTAATCGACATTTCATGAAGTATGTCATGTCAAATTGGTCTGGTGACCACTTGATTGTTCCAATGAATTTAAAAGTTTTACCTGAAATCTGTAATAAGTGTTGTCATTCTTTACATTGAGTATATGATCATCTATTGGGAATAGGTAACCATGGGAAGATATAAGTGACGCTAAATGCAGAGCTTCGGCTGCAAATAAAGCAAATCAAACAATTATTTATGAAGCATTTAAAAATCCTTTTATACAAGCATATGTATACTTGGCATAATCTAGAACTAATATTCTTTCAATAATATATAAATTATATTTTCACTGTTAAAGGCTTCACCTAAAAAACAACATTTCAGATAATTGCAATTATTGTGCAGAATCAATGGAAGTGAACAAGCTCTAGGGTGAAGGCCATCTAGTGGAAGCAAGTTGATCAGAATTGATATTAAAAAATCAATCACCTTATATCACGGATATAGATACGGATGAACTAATTACTGATTTAACACCCTATGTTTGGAGTAAGAAATAACGGCAAAATATAAGTCTGTATACATTTTGAAAGTAATCATAGAATGGATTGAATATCATTTAATTCTTGCTGATATGACTTCCAAACCTCAATTATCAAATCACTGCAGTCAATATCAGCTTCATTCATGGATACTCAATATCAACTCATTGATATGATATCACTGAAAAACATATGGATATCATATGCATATTCCATCATAATGCATTATAGAAGTAGGCTATTTATCAAAGTATGGCCATTTCAAACCTCAATTATCACCTCATAGTGATTATCCCCTGATGTACTTTTGCGTATTACCCATTAAGTCATTCACTCAAAATGTGTGTGAGGCTTTCGCACTGCAGCTAAAAATCAAATAGTGGGTAGAATTTTACTGCACAAAAAAACACACTTTTGAACTCGTTCGGGGAGATTTCACATAGACCCCAAGTTACCCCATTTTGAATTGGACAGATCACATTTACTTTTACTGGACACATTTTAAGTTGCATAACTATTAGATACGTAAGGGTTATGTTAAAATATAACCACTAAAACAGATGTAATTCAAGTTAAAGGGAAATTTCTATTCTACCCGCAATGCTAACTGACCCGAACGAGCCACCTGGTGGTGAAACTGGTAACTACCTACTCGCATCTGCGTTATTAGATACAAACTTAAAACTGGTAATCTCACTGAGGTTTCAATATATACACATTATATATTTTTACTATTCAGGGCTTCAGCTGAAAAACAATATTTCGGGCAATTACAAATACGTGAAGTGTGTTAATGTTTCAATGGAGCTGACTGAACTAAAGGCGATCTCAAAGAAAAAGAAAAACATTTCTTTCAAATCAGTACAATTTAATAATTACTGCATTTTCATTTAGATTGTTGTCTTTGGATTTTTCAATGTTTGCATTTAATTGATTGCATAATTTGTCATCATACAAAAATGATCATTATATACAGTTAAATTAGCACTTATATCCCATTGCTTTACAAAGATATGGCTGAAACAAAAACGCAAGTGATTCAATGCTACTCTAAGGGGCCCTCACAGCCATTAATATTCTCACTGACCACTAGTCTACTTGTCCTGAACAAATCTATTTGTTTCAATCGTCAAATCAATTAGCCTGTTGTGAGGAGTTTTTATGAGCACAGAAGCATGATTTAAACTGAAAATGAGGCAAAAAGAGAGAAGCATGCATAGAACGACACCGACTGAGTTTTATAGAACTCAAGAAATCAGTAGTTCTTCTAATTTTAATGGAAAAATAAGGTAATAAACATGGTTGATATTTCAAGCATGGGTAAAGGAAGGAATACCAACATATAACCATCTGAGGAATATCTTTGCATCATTTCTTTTATGAAATTAGTTATAATTTCTACCATGGGCTTTCATGAATGCTCATGTTTCTACCATGCACTGAAGTAATACAGAATATTTAGAGGGCATATAACACTACCGCATTCCTCTTTAGCAATGTTAACATTGAAAAGGTGTTATTTTGATGGCTATTTGATATGGGTAACCCAATGATAAAATGTTTATGGTATATACTATATAGTACAATAAATCACAGGTTTCACAGGTACAATAAATCACAATCATATTAAGCATCAGGGAACATTAAACGGGCAGGTACACCAGTTCACTGGGAGAAAATTAATTTGAAATCCCTAGCTTATGAGTTATTATATCGAGGATGAATTTATGGAAACCTTACCTATATCATCAACATCTAAGTTCCTCATCATCCAGCTAACAAGGTCAGCCCCTGCAAACGATTAAAATTTTGTAGTCTTTAAATCTGTACTCTCTATTCAGAGTATTCCCTGTAATAGAAGCAATGAGGGGGGGATGTGCATGCAGTTTCTTCCGCAAGATTATATTCATAATTTTGTAGTCTAATCTGTGTTCCCTATTTGGAGTATTCCCTGTGGTAGAGGCAGTACTGTTTGCTTGTTGGAATTGGGGACTGGGGGATACATACACACGCGGTACAAACTTCGACCGTTAATTTGAATTTTTGACCTACCAGATGCTCGAAAATCAAGGATTGCGAGTCTCATACTACACCGTTTTTCTTCAAACGTATACCATTAAAAGCAAAACAAAATTGCCTTTCTGTCGGTACATTACTTTATTGTAAAGAGTCCCTCGTTCTACCAGCGTTTTGGTCCCCAGCTGTTAGAAGGCCTTCTTACAGCTGGGGACAAAAATGCCGCTGGAAGTAGGGACTCTGTTTAAGAGAATAATGTACCAACAGAAAGGGATTTTTGTTATGCTTTGAATGGAACAAGTTTAAAGAAAAATGGTGCAGTACGAGACTCGTAATCCTTGATTTTCAAACATCCGGTAGGTCAAAAATTCAAATTAACGGTCGAAGTTTGTACCGCGTGATACAGTTCCGTCTACAAGATTATTCATAATTTTGCAATGAGACTTATTTTATTTCTCATTTGTATATAAACATAATAAAAAACTGCTCCATGTTTACTGGACTTCACTCTGAAACAATTCACTTTGCATGACAATACACTAATAATAACGCTTCTATCTGACATTCAATTCTTTCTCTAGTTATAATGAACGTATGATGATGAAATGATAAATCTACTTGTATGTAGTATTCAAGGCTCTAGCAAACATTACAATTGTTAATTATTTAAAACATATGTTATTGATGTAGGATGTATTTAACCTGTAACAATATTCAATTTCTTTTATCGATGAAGGTATCCATACATTGTACCATGGGCTTTCAATAGATATGTAATAGAACCATCCTTCCATGCCCCCCCCCACATTTTAGAGGAGTATCAGAATGCATTAAGTTGAAAGATCTATTAATTTCGGTAACAATGTTAATTACTGTATTTAATCAAAAACACATGGCTTTACTATGCTTTGAAATGGTACTGTTTTAGATTGCTTAAAAATTACATTTTAGACTGCTTTAAAATGACATTTTGTACATAGCTTTAAAACTGTGTATTTTAGACACTGGTTTAAAATGTTGCAATTTTAGATTGCTATGGGTTTTTTTCTAATTGAGAGCCCATGATATTGCTTTAAAATGGTATACTTTGTAACACTGGTTTAACATGGTCTATTCTTAGATGGGTCTATAACAGTACAGTTTTTGATTGCTTTAAAATAGCAAATAATGTATATCACTTTAGAATGGTATATTTTGTTCATCTTTTTTATTTGAGTTTTAACATGTAAACAGGTACATAAAAATTAGCCAATCTATTGTTATGCAGTCAGAGTTCTTGCCTTTACTAGATGTCCCTATCAATTATTTATACATCTTGCTTTGATTGTATTTGTTTTTGTCTTGTATTGTGCACAGGCCCGTAGCCAGGATTTGCCAAGGGGGGGTTCACTTTTTGGGAAATTCTAGGGAGGTTCACTTTTGACAATTTTGTTCCAAAAATGGCCAAAATCACTTAAAAAGTGCTCAGAATGGTGAAAAACTGCATGGTTTAGAAAGAATTTTTGGTCAGGGGGGTTCACTCGAACCCATCAAACCCCCCGCCCCCTGGCTACGGGCCTGGTTCATGTACAGGTCTATCAAATAGCATGAATGAGACTTTATAAAATGTTCATGCCAAGCAAATAATGGCACAAGATGAGCTCCATACATTAATACTCATGACATAAACTCACTATTTCGAAGCTTAATAGCATTAGCTTTCAACTAATGACACCATCTTGAGAAATGGTTATGAAATGTTTCAATCAAAAGAGAAATCTTTTAATAGGAGTGAGATATTTCATTAGAAATAAGATTATCAAAGTGAATAACATTTTTCACTGGATAAGAGATTTTTTGAATGGATGATACACAACTGAAAAGGAGTGAGATGTTTTCAATGTGTGATATTTTACCTGTGAAAACACTGGGTATCTTGGCCATGAAGCTCTTGACGGTGCGGACTGGGATGCCGATCTGTTCTCCCTGCATCCTTTCTATAATTTTCTCCATCTGAAAAAACAACATTGGACTATAAGTTGCTTATCCTACTCATAGGGTTCTTAATGAGAGGTCACACTTCTACAGGTAAACAATACTTTAAGTTGACCTTGACCTTTGTGACCTTGTTAAAAATAAAGGTGGGATCAGTAGTCTAAAATAATTCCATTCGTGAGCTTTTACCTTTTGATTTACATTAACACTTTAAAATGACACTTTTAGGTGACAGTCACTTTATTGTAATATGCATGGTATGGGTTATGTTGGGTTATGTTAACATGTTGTATATTTGTATTATGGGTTATCTATATTATATGCCTCAGGCTATGTATTCTTTCTCTGTTTATGTAGAGGCCTCCCAGAGCTAGAGTGGCCTTATAAAAAATATTTTACATTTTAGTCTACAATTCTGATTTCTGGTGCTAGTCACATCAGCAAATATTATTTTTAGCCTTGGACTAATTTTATCCCGATAATACTATTTTTGTTATATCTAATTATAAATTTGTGTATATGAAGTCCCAATGGACCAACGGTATGCTTTGATTGTTTTGTAACATCACTATACATATCCTTGGGGATTTGCTTTCTTTTATGGAAAAACTAGCAAGAAGTATGTATATATAAATCAACATGTCTAGCAGAGCCATTGAATGCCACATGATAGCCTTTTATAGTCTAGTGACTATAATGGGACCACACTACGACAATATTACGGCTTTGCATCCCATAATTTATACATAATCTGGAAATATTTGGTGTTTTGCAGCTTTTGAATGTACCCACTGGTGTAAGCGGCTATTAACACATCATAAAAAAATAACCGATCAAATTCGAGAAAATTGCCTGAATTTTGGAATTTCTGTTGCATATTTTTTTTTGGCTCTTTAATTTTTATAAAGTTCTTCAATTTGCTCATGGTTTCTCTTTTAAAAATGTATTACCATCATGTCCATCAATACATGTACAGTGAAACATCACTTACAGTTGGGGACATAAATAAATGACAGGTGGATTTGCTGAAGTGAGGACTTCCCATGTTAAAAATAAGAGAATTTACAAGAGGCCATAAATCAGTGGATGAGATTATACAAAATGTAAAATATACAAATTTTAAGGGATATGTATCTAGACAATATTGGAAATTATGGGCTTTCAGACCACCATAATTAGGAAATGGTGATCGAAAATCGACCTGTCATTTATTTTTGTCCCCAACTGTACCAGCTAGTACCTCATACATAATGATGAAACATTCTCATATTAACAATCGCCATTTGATCTTTGAAATACAAGCTTTATTACATCCGTTTTATATATGTTTCATCATGTATTCTTAATGTTAATAGCTAGGAATCCTCACCTCTGCAAGGAATATTTTTGCGAGGGTTAATTCAGTAAAGCATTGATCTGCAGATCCAGTGATAGGATATTACATCAGATTGACATTATATGGCACATTGCCCTGTTCTACCACTTTTTCCAACATCTAACGATTTCTGAGTTGATTAATCCTAAATTTAATGCGCTGAGTTTATTCAGTGTGGCATACATACTGAAACACCCTTCAATATCATTTCTGAATCATCAAAATGTTATTTCATTAAAACCATTATTTACAGTTGCTAATGACTGAAAAACAGAAATCGTACAGCCTTTATTTTATTTTGAGAAATATTTGTTGATGCCATATTTAATAGCATGAGTTAGGTTAGGGCAGGATAGAGTTAGGGCAGGATAAAAAACAAGGCATTAACATGCAAAATGTCACCACCTACCATTTGTTATAAAAAGTTGGTGACTATAACAATAAGTCACCACTTGTGGTGCTGACATAATTATATAAAACATAAGTCATCACATCAAATGACAATGAATTAGGCAAAGCAAAGTGTTTCAGAAATATCAACTAGAAGTTAAATATTTCACGTGAAAATAATAGTTTTCTGTTACCCTGCGTGCAGAGTCTAGTTAAACTCCAGAAGACGAAGATCTCTTTTAAGAAGTGAAGTCAAACGAATGCAAAGGGTAGTTTTCTGTTAGACATCAGAGTAAAAAAGTCTAAACTGATCAGTGATCTCCCTAGCATTAAAGCAAGTGGGCACAGCATCCACCTGAGATTTTAAAAATAGCCTTGCACCACCTGAAAATCCATTTGCACCCACATGAAAATGAGAAAAATTAAGAAAAATTGACATATTCTGACCAATTTCGGTCTGAATTGTGAAAATGGGAATTTTGCACCTGCTTGAGAAAAAATCCTGTGGAGAACACTGATACCACATTCCTAGCTATCAATATCATTGTAAATATTTTATGAAACATAAAACAGAGATTTTTTAAGTGTCATATAAGCATATACAATGTAAGAGATCTAGATTTTTTATAAATTACGGACAAATCAACCTCGCTAAAATGTATGATGTTAAATATTTCATAAACATCTGCTAACAATCAGTCTTCAATGAAATCCAAAGCTTACACAATACTATTTACAGCATAGAACCTTGGTCTATAAAAATGAAGAAACATATTGTAGTGAACAGATAATTACAATATACTATAGCACACAATCCAATTGGTTGAAAAATAAGTCCAACTCTACACTGATCTCAAATAACATGACGTACAACCAAAATGCTGCTATATTCAGACCGGAGCATTTCATTACTTAATCTAAAAGAGGGGAAACGCTCTGGAGTAAGAAAAATGGTAGGTGGAATTGACCAGCTGTCTAACAATATCAATGAAAAACGGGAATAAGGGGAATATGTAACTATAATAGAGATATTTTGCAACTCACTTATAGCATGTTTATTATTCCCGTATAACGTATAACTTATAGAGCATTTGATTATGTTATCAATTATTACATAGCTCTATATGTCCACAAGTATGATATTCTTATAAAGTGTCGTCTAAACGTAATGTATAGATGGTGTTTTAGAAGTATTTAGAAGTAATTGAAACCCTCTTGGGAGTAAATGTAGCAACTGTTTGGTTATATACAATGAATATGCTCAAACAAACCAAAAACGTTCATAAATTCTTCTTATATGAACCAAACATATTTTATTTGTCTTCACATACAGGGTGAGCCAAAAAGGTAACCCTTGCTTGTCTAATATTCATTCATTCTTCCCAGTTGTAACAATTTCATGGCCATTTTGCAAAACATGCTCCAAATCCTGAAACATTTCAAAATTCACCCGATTTGGATAAGACCAACAAAACTTAGAATGAGAGAACAGAGAATGAAATAACATAGAATAAGTTTGAATTGTGCCAAATGTGACCTTAAACCCATATGCTGAATGACTGAGTTATACCATTTGTTTGGGTAACATTTTTGGCTCACCCTGTATGAGACCTTATCCTCTGTCAATTCCTCTATTTTACTCTATAACTAAAAAATAGTCTATTCTACCATTGCCATGACAGATCTATTTGTTTGGTAGATCAATATCCTCCAGGTGCCTTCAAGAAGCTAAATCTTGGACGAAGAAACATCCAAGAAAAGCTACGCACACTTAAACATTATGAATTGTAATCCATGCTTTCTAAGAAGAATTCAATCGATGATCCTATATGTATTAATATGCCTTCTTATTAATACAATAAAATGGTGGTTTAAGATGCTGAAATGGGTTCACTCAGCCTGAAACAGGCACTTGCTTATTAGATGAGAATATCTGTACAATAAGAATATACCTTAAAGAGATGCTACATGTATTCTAGAGCAGTGAAGTCAAGCTCTAAAAGCTTTATAAGTCAAGAAGGCTCCATGAGAGACACCACAGCCTTTAATCCATAAATGACATGCATGATTTGCTTGTAATATATGGCAGAGGCTTTAATTTTAGTTCCTCATTCAATATAAGTACAATGCAATGAAATGTATTTTGGCTAATATAAATGATTGACAAAATTGCTTATTTGGTAGGTAAAATTATATAAATATCTAAGAACTGAACCATTTGTACATTCTCCCTCTACAATAACTTAAGAAAAGAACTGAACCATTTGTACATTCTCCCTCTACAATAACTTAAGATAAATGTTTTTGATCTGATCCCTTAATACACTGAACAGGCATGAAAGGGACATTTTAAATCAGTTCATCATACAATTCCCAAGATATATCAGATAAATTACATTAATAATTCAATATTATGTAATATCACTGTGCATGACATCATAACATTACCATGGAGACCTTATATAAAATATAGTTTGATCAAATCAACCTGTAGAAATGAATGAAATACTATACAAATGTGAATGACTCCAGAGAACTGATAGCAGATCAAACAGAAATAGAGATTTTCAATTTTTGAACTGTCTTAATCACCCTTGGTATACGCAGCTAACGAAAATTGACCGATACGGGTCAAAAGCTGGACCGGTACGGGTTAACGGTTTTATTTGAATTTAAAATAGCCATAACTTGCTCAATATTGACTTCCTCGTGTCTAATTTGAAATATATGATTCCTCCCGATGCTTTTAAGTACCCCAATTTTTTACAGATTTTTAAATGGACCAAAACTCTCTAAATGCACATTTATGCTCTTTTCTCTCGAGAACGACTGTCTTATTTTCACGATAACTTTTATTTAGTACTTCTAACATATAAGATCTATTTTCCCCATCAAGGTATGATGTAAATGACATGCTATTTACATCTTGTGAGTTTCAATGACGCGCGTTTGATTTTATAAAAAATGCCAAACTTTGTGACAAAGAATTTCATCCTGCTTGCAGCGAGAAGACGGACCGGTTCGGGGCAATCTGCTTGCAACGAGAAGACGGACCGGTTCGGGGCAATAGCTGATGAAATTCTTTGTCACAAAGTTTGGCATTTTTTATAAAATCAAACGCGCGTCATTGAAACTCACAAGATGTAAATAGCATGTCATTTACATCTTACCTTGATGGGGAAAAATAGATCTTATATGTTAGAAGTACTAAATAAAAGTTATCGTGAAAATGAGACAGTCGTTCTCGAGAGAA